CAGTGTTGGATTGGGTCATGTGTTAGATTTTACCAAAGCTTTCTACGTGGGCCGAGAGGGTCTTTTAATCCAGGAACATGGGATGTCTTTCCATTTATCAGGTCTTCTTTAATTCTTTTAAAAATATCTGTTTTGGTTGTTTAGATGGATATTTCTTTAGAAGATACAATACCATTAATCAATCAATTTTGTGAGGTGCTGAGGACCCGACCCAGGGCCTCACACACGTTAGGCCAGCGCTCTGCCACCAAGTCCCAACCCCAGCCTGTTCTTTAATTCTTTAGCATCCTTTTGTAGCTTTCAACGTGCAGATCTTGTCTGTTGGTCAGGTTTGTCCCTAGGTGCTCTCTCCTTTTCAGCGCCATTGCAAATGGAGCCTTTTTTTGCTTAATTTCCTTTTTGGGTGGTTCAGCCCTCGTGTACAGAAACACGTTGATGTCATGTCCTGAGACGTTGCTCAGTTCTTTAGTAAAGGGTCAGTGGCTCTCTGGGGCGTCTCTGGGAGTTTCTCGGTGCCGCCCGTGTCTCTGCAGTAGAGGGACTTCTTCCTCTGTCTCTGGGCTTGTTCCACCTCTTGTGTGCTCCTGGTCTGGGGGGGGCAGTTCTTCCCAGTCGGTGTGAGGCAGCGGCAGGTTTTCCTAAATGCCCTCCATACATTCAGGAAGCTCCTTCGTCTTCCTGATCTTCTTAGTGTTTTCTTTTTCTTTTCCGCCATGTCTTAGATTTCGTCAAAGCCTTTCCACGTGGGCTGAGAGGGCCACCTGTTTTCCCCTTCAGTCTGGTAACTTGGCGTGTTGCATTGGTCGATCTTTTGGGCTGACCATCGGCCTCCTTGGACAAACCCCACTTAGTCATGGCGTATGATATTCTGAACGCTCCTGCTGCTGGGCCTGCTGAGGGGGCAGGGCGGCTGGAGCTCTGGCCGGGGCAGCACCCAGCTCTTGTGGTCCCCACTGCTTCCTGCCACAGGCCTCTTCCTGCCCACGTCCCCTCCTGGGAGCAGGTCTTGGGGGCTGCAGCAGGGACAGTGGGCTCAGGCCCCGGGCTGCGGGGGACGTAGGACTGTCTCAGAGGTGGCTTCTCATGGCCAATGCTGCTTTTGGGTGTTCGGTGGACTCACCTTGTCCGCCTGCAGGCTGGACACCTGGTTCTCCGAGTGTCCCCAGCCCCTGACCGCAGCCCAGTTCCCTCTGAACAGTGGGCTGCCGCAGTCCGGGTCACTGTTGTGACCTGTCAAGAGCAGCATTCCATTGTGCTTTGTAGTTTCAGTGAAAAATCTCACTGTTTTTCTACTTAGCTACTTTTATTTCCCTGTATTTTGGTTTTTGTTTAGTTATAAAATATTTTAAACACAGCAAAGTTGGGAGACTTAACTGGTGAGTATCCGCCCGGGGAGCGCTGGTTTCATACTGCACACTGGGCTCTCCACCAGATGACCCCAGCAGCCACCTCGGCCAGTGCACCTCGATGCATTTCAGGGTCAGTGCAAACACAGCAGCTTCCCCGGGCCTTCAGCCAGGGCGCGAACCAGGGCCCAGTCCTCCTGTTTCTGTGTGTGAGATCAGTGGACGGACTGGACGCCTGGCCCGACCCTCTCTGCAGACCCTCCCGACCCGGCAGTTTCCTGGCCTCACAGCCTGCTGGCCAGGGCTGCAGCCACACCTGGTGCCCGCTGTGTGCTGGCTGTGGCCGACTTAGGGCACGCCCTTCCGCTGGGCAGGAGGCCCCTGCCTGTCCTGCTGGCCGCGATCCAGTCTCTGGGGCCATGGGCGATGGGCCTCTTTTTGGTGTGAAAGCTCTTCCCACAACGGACAGTGGCCACCGAGCCTCCCAGGCTCCTCCTCCTCCTCCTCCCTCGGTTTCCAGGATCCACAAGAGCCCTGGACAGAGGCCCCAGGGTGAAACCAGGGGACGGAGGTGCCCTGGGACTCAACAACCTGCACCCACTCCCTCCAGAGGGGCCCTGAGCCCAGGCCCCTCGCCCTGGCAGTGGCTGTCGGAGAGACCAGCGGGGTAGGACCTGCAGCCAGCACAGGACAGGACGGCACAGGACAGGACGGCACAGGACCACGAGGAAGCGCTCGGGGGAAGAAAGACCAACCTGAGCTGAGGAGCAGATGCCTCATTGCTTATGGGTGACTAAGATTCAGGGATCAGGACCAGGACACCATTGCCACAGGGGACGTGAGTCCGTCACAGACGTGGGACTAAGTGGAGGAATCTGGTGTCTGGACAAAGAGAAAGTCTTCGGTGGTCACCAGGGGAGAGGTGGTCCTCACATAATTCATCAGCAGCAGGAGGGGGTGCTGCAGGGGAGGGGCCTGCAGACCAGGGTGGGCAGGAGGGCTGGCAGCACACAGAGGGTGGGCAGCTCCGGGCACGCAGCAGGCCCCCGGCAGGGGCTGGGCACACACACAGGGCGGCACAGAGAGTCACACAGGGGCTGGCCAGCAGGAGGAGGGGACCCAGCATAGGGAGGCAGGACAGGCTGGGGGCAGCCCAAGGAGCAGCTGGTGTGGCCCAACGAGGCCGACGCCCTGTCCCTGGCATGGCCTCCTGCTCTGCCCACTCTGCTGACCTCCCTCTGGTCCCTCAGCCCAGGAAGCCCTTTCTCAGCTGCAGGCGCCCGCGACGAGCTGGCTGTGTGCTTTCTGAACTCGGAGGCCAGTCAGCTGGAGGCCGACTGTGGAGGCCAGGGGATGCCACCTCGTGGGTTCCCAAGGTCCCCCACTGCAGACGCCCCGTCTGGTGTCCCCACAGCACCGCCCGCTCCTAGCCCCAGGGCCCCGCTCAGATCCTCCATGTCACAGACATGTCATCCTCGCCTGTGACGGACAGTGACCCACAGTCTGTTTGCCCGTCTGAATTCTTGTCCCCTGTTCTGACTGGGTGACCGCTGCTGCCATCTTCGAGCTCAGGGTCCCTCCACGATGTGGCTCCGTGAGGCCCGTCCGTGTGGAGTTACACGTCGGCTGCTGACTTTTCTGGGATTCCCGTTTCATAAGCTTCGCTCTCCCTGCGAGGCCCTGCTCACGCAGCAGCGGCTCTCCGCTGGCCGCTCCCCTGCGGCAGCTGCCGCTCCCTGGTGCCCGTCTAAGTGCCCTGGGGACGACGTTCCTGGTCGCCTTTCCTGTCTGGTCATTGGGACTGAACCGTGGGGTCCCAGGCTGCGACTCCGGCCTCCGGGTTCTGACTGCTGGTCCTGGCCCGGGAGACGGCGTGCGGTGGGCCGTGTGGGAGGGGTCCTCAGCTCTCTAACCCCAGGGTCTCCACGTCCACCTGCTTCCAAGGAAGTCCTGATGTGGGTGGCCTTGGGCTTCGCTCGGCGACGGTCGATCTCCCCAGGCCCTGGGCCAGGAGTGTGGCTGCACTGGATGCTGTGGGCGTCCACTGTCCACCCTGCTGCACCTCCTCCTGGTGGCCTTCCCCAGCAGTTGCAGCCCACCCCCTCCACAGGTTCCAGGCGTCTCCTGGGCTCCTGTGCGCCTGCTCCATTGCTGGGCCCCCCCTGCTCAGGTCCTGGGCTTCTGCTGTCCCCCTGCTGCCCGCCCCGTGCAGAGGGCCAGGGCTTTCATGTTTTGCTCGTTTTTTGCTGATGGCACGGCAGCTGGGACAGTGGCCGCAGCCTTGGGAGCACGGCCTGCGCTACTGTGGCTGCTCACCGCGGTGGCCGTCTCCCGCCTGGTCTCTGGGGCACAGTTAGTGGAGCGCTCTGCTGGCCGCCGGCCATCTAGGTGCCCAGTGTCCTTCCAGAGTAGCTCCTGTCTGTCCCAGGGGGTCCTGGTCCGGGCAGTAGATGCTGAGGAGGCGCTGGGAGACCCTCACTCGGCTTCGATATGGACCCAGTGGAGAGGGGCTGACAGGCACGGAGCCGAGCCCCTGCTTCCCGCTGACGGGGGTCGGGGTCAGCCAGGGTGAGGCTTCAGAGCCGCTGAAGCGACCTCCGTCCATGGCGGCTGTCCTGGAAAGCCTTCCACCATGGGGCAGGGTCTTCGTGCTGGGCTCCCGGTGCTGCGGGAGGAGTGGGCAGGGCGGGCCTGCAGAGCTGCCAGGAGGACCACGCAGGGGCCGGGAGTGAGCCTGCTCACACGCCTGTCGGGCCCACGCGTGTGCGCTTGTGTGCGGGCTGCGGGCTCCGCGCCGTGCAGGCCTGGGAAACGGCCTCAGGGGGCCACTGCGAGCCCACCCTGCGTCCCCCCGAGGGTCTCCCCCAAGCGCTTCGGAGGCGCCAGCTCTGCGCCATGTTCCAAGGTCTGCTCGCTGTTGGGGGAGGAGAAGGTGACCCAGGGACTGGAGTGGAGGGAGGACGACGCAGGAGGCGGCCTGGGCAGTGTGCACGGCCCAGGGGAGAGCCCGGGCAGGGCACAGCTGCCCACCTGCTGTGTCCCTCCTTCCCTCGGCTCTACAAGGACAGAGCCATCAGAGGACAGGAGAGATGACCCGATGGGAGGCCCCGTCCCCCTGTCTGCCCGGCCCACACGGGGGCTGCAAAGACCCGCCGCTGTGCTCAGAGCGTCTCCCACCACCTCAGTCCAGCTGGGGTGGACACTGTGGGCTCCCACATGGTCCTGGCCCTCCCGGAGCTCATGGCTCAGGTCCACAGGCCCAACCTGCCCTGGCCTGTGGGCCTCCGTCTACCTGGGGCCGCCTGCTTTTCTGGATCTGCCCCTTAGGAGGTGTGGGTGTCCCATCCTGGCTCCCAACCGTAGGCTTCCCTGATGGGCACAGGGGCACCGCCACGTCCACCACCCACCCTTTCCCTCCTGGCCCAGGATGGTCTCCATGCCTATCTTCCTGTCCACTGCTCTCTGGCCCCTCCCTGGGCTCTGGGAATCTCACAAAAGCAACTCAGGAAACTGGTGGAGCCAGCCAGAGCCAGCGAGGCCCCGGGCAGTTCCCAGTGTGCAGAGCTCCAGGAAGGGGCCATTAGTCACGGGGCCCAGCAGAGCAGCCACAGCTACAGCAGCCACGTGAGCGTGGCCCAGGCAGAGGAAGCAAGCCAGGAAGACCCGGCCGAGCTTCCGTGTTGCCCGGACGCCCGGCCGGCATATAAGGGCTGCCAGGGGAGGAGGCGCCAGACCTCACCACCTCCTCCCCAGCACCAGCCAGCCTCAGCCACCATGTGCCACACCAGCTGCTCCTCAGGCTGCCAGCCGGCCTGCTGCCTGCCCAGCCCCTGCCAGGCGACCTGCTGCGTGCCCGTGAGCTGCAGGCCCACTGTGTGTGTGCCCGTGAGGTGCCAGGTGGCCTGCTGTGCGCCCGTGAGCTGCAGGCCCATCGTGTGTGTGGCCCCCTCCTGCCAGTCCTCTGGGTGCCTTCCCATGAGCTGCCGTCCTTCCGTGTGTGTGGCCCCCTGCTGCCAGTCCTCGGGGTGCTGCCAGCCCCCCTGCCCCACCCTCCTCTGCAGACCCGTCTCCTGTAGCACCCCCGCCTGCTGCTGACCACACGCCACAGACCAGCGGCTCCCAGGGCAGGCGGCCACCCCTGCACCCTGCCAGCACTGGGGACGGTGGAAAGCACGGCCAGTGGCCCCTCTGCACTGGGGGAGAGGGCGGGAGGACGGTGCTGATGCCCCTGCCCTGCCTGTCCCCCGGGCAGTCCTGCTCCCAGGGGCCTTCTCTAAGCCCACGTGAGCTAATAAACCAGCTTCCCGTTCACGGCTGTAGCTCTGTCCTTCCTCTGAGTTGGCCTGGCCATCTATCCTGGTGACCTCTCTTCACATGGTTGATGGGGAGCCCTGGGTGGGGAAACGGCCTGAGGCCCAGTGTCCAGGTGGCGCGGGTTGGGGACGAGCCTCTGGCCTGCGGCCTGCTTCCCAGCAGAGTTCCTTCCCGCCGCTGGGCGCGGCCTGGAGGCCTGAGGCCTGGCGCCTCCCCTCAGGGACGTCCTGGTTCCCCAGGTCGGCCCCGTCTGTCTGTGCCTCAGGTTCTCAGGGCTGGACCAGCTGCGATTGGCCCCCCACCGCTGTCCACATCCGGTTTGGGTTGATCAAGGAACACTGTCACAGCATAAGCAGGAGCGCGCCAGGTCCCAGCACAGAAACCAGACGCGCCAACAGCTCACCAGCAACGTCTCGGGGCACCAGGCGGCAGTTCTTACTCGTTATTCTGTCCCCCAAAACTACAGCTGGGGGCTGGGGAGGTGGCTCAAGTGGTGGCGCGCTCGCCTGGCATGCGTGGGGCGCTGGGTTCCATCCTCAGCACCACGTAAAAATAAGATAAAGATGTCATGTCCACCTAAAACTGAAAATAAATTAAAAAAAGAACTACAGTGGACTCACGCTTCTCTGTTGGCCTGGAGTGTGAGCTTTTGAGTCGAGGGCCTTTGAGGACGTGGGTCTCTGGAGTAAGCTCTTCTCCGCAGGGTGCTGGAGCGAGTCCTCTGCTTTGTGGGTGAGCTTCCTCCCTCTTGCCCCGTGGTTCTCAGGTGACCATTAGGTTACATTTCCCGGGAGACGGGCAGCTTCCTCAGGAGCTGGTTCCAAGTTCTGGTGCTCCAGGGTCAGCCTGGGACCTGACTTCCTGGGCTCCACGCTGGCCGCCCCGGGCTCCACCTTTTCATTTATGCCCTAGAGGCCTGTGGTGAGGTTGGAGTTTCGTCATTGCCCGGTGGCCTGGGTCCTGTCGGGTTGTCTACATGGGGGCTTTGGATGAACCTGAGTCAGAGGCGACGGTCAGCCTGAGGGCACACGCGGCTGCATCGCCCGCGCACAGAACCACTCTGTGTGAGCACGCGTGACACGCAGTGTCATGCACCACCCTGGCACACGCCTGCTTCCCACTGTCCTGCACCCCAGCGTCCACAGCCCAGGGCTGTGGTGCAGTGGGCTAGGTTGCCAGGTGACCACAGCGGCTGCTCAGAGGGAATGCTCACCGTCCCTCCAGGGGCGTGGCTGGACCAGTAGCACTGCTGTTTCTCACCAGAAGACCTCCCCCAGCGCTTTGTCTGGTGGTGGCCGGCTGGATGAGGACTAGCCCGGCCAGTGCTCTCACACTGGGCACCGGGGAGGGGTCCTGCAGGTCAGGCTGCTGAGGCAGACGTCACTGGCCCAGCTGCCAGGCATGCAGCGTGGCCGAGAGCAGCTGTCCAGGAGGGCACCAACCTGCCCCGTCTTCAGGACAGCACCTACTGGACGTGCTCACTGTCCCCTTCTAGGCTCTGGGAACACTGAGGTGCAGCAGGGCTTGGTGTCTACTGTCTGTCCCCCACACCTGCCCGGCACCTTCACGTCACGCGTGTGCTTGTGCAGACGGGCGGCACTCGGACTCCAGGTTGGGGAGCGGGCAGGACCAGGGAAGGGGCGGGAGAGGCGGAGAGCTTCTGAGAAAGCCTGGCCTGGCGCAGTGTGGCCGCAGCCTCTGTGGGGACATGCTCACCAGGTCTGGCCACGCAGAGCAGGGGCCTCTCCCGCGACTGCAGCTCCCTCCGGGCTGCACAGCACAGCGGCTGCGGGAGAAGGCTGGCGAGGAGGCCGGTAGGAGGCCGGTAGGAGGCCGCGGAGCCCAGCCCAGGGGCGGGGTGGTGTGGCAGGCGCACAGTGGCTCGCTGGAGCCCTGAGCGGGCGGTGGGCTGCGCTCCGAGGGCACGGGAGGCCTGCCCCCAACGTCAGAGGACAGACTCGACCGAGACCGAGGCTGGCGAGCCCGCTTCCCAGCTAGACCCCGGGGGCTCCTGCAGCGTGGGTGGGCTGGCCGGGAGCCCGTGGCCTTGAGCTGGACGACACTCTGTCACCCTGTCCCCTCAAGCTGCCACGTCTTAATAAAGTCCTGAACACTTCTGCAGGCGTCTCTCTCGCTTGGACTGCACACCTGCCTGCGCTGCTGTGGCTTGCAGCGTCACATAAAATGCAGATGACGGGACTCGGGGAATATCGTGGTTTGGATGTGGGGTCCCCCAGAAGCTCAGGTGTGAGATAATGCGAGAAGTTCGGAGAGCAAAGGGCTGGGTTAGGAGCGCCTTAACCCAGCCCGGGAATTCGTCCCCTGGTAGGGGCTACTGAGTGGCGGCTGGAGGCAGGTGTGGCTTAGGGGTCTCCATTTGTATCTCTGCTTCCTGGTCACCAGGTGAGCTCCTTCCCTCTGCCACACTCTGCCACCACGATGCTCACATCGCCTTGAGCCCGGGTATGGACCTGGCCTTCCTCGGGCTGAGACCTCGGAATCCGAAGCCTCCAAGGGGACTTTCCTGCTCTGCAGTTGCTCTGTCGGGCCTTGGCACAGCTGAGAGGAAGTGGCCCGGACCCTGGGTCACTGGGACGCGAGTGTGTCGGCAGGAGCGTGGAGTCCTTCTGCTGTCAGGGTCAACGGCTCCACGGTCCCCAGGGAGATAGGGAGCACTGTCAGGGAGGGAGCTTTAGCCCAGGTGCGGGTCACGGCTTTCTGGGGCAGGTGCCCGCCATCTCTCACTGTGGGGTGTGCTCGGTCGGGGCTGTTTGCCTGGGTAGAGCTCAGGCCTTCCCGGCTGTCCTGAGCTGTCTGTCTGTCTGTCCTGCTGCAGCTGAAGTCCAGTGGTCAACGCGATTTCTGTTTCTCCTCTCTGTCCATCAGTTGGAACTGTTGGTGTGGAGCTGGCTGTGAGGTGCTGACGTGTTCAGGGTGCAGTTCTTGAGTGGACCCCTGTACGGTCTTGCATTCTCCCCTCTAGCCCTGCGATACCTCCTCCGTGTTCCGTGGGCGCACTTTCCATCTGAGTCCTCTCCGTCTGTCTGAGTCCATTTGAGCTGGGTTTCTGGGAGGTAGACAGCATACTGTTGGACTCTGGTTTTTATCCCATATGAGAATCTGTCTCTTGATTTCGGTGTCAGACCTTTTGCTTTGGAGGTGCTTGTTGGTGGGTTTACATGAACAGGCCACCTGGGTACTTTAGGGGTGAACACACTCCACCCGCCTCCTTTCTCTGTTTCCCTCCGTGCCTCTTTGGGGCTCTGTCTCTCCAGCACCCCGTTCCGTCTCTGTGGGGCTGGTTGGCCAGAGGCCTTCGCAGGCTCCTTTGGCCTCGAGTCTACGACACACCTCAACAGCACTGAGCTTGGGGACCTGACGAGGTCACCTCCTCTTGCCTCCTGCTGTCCGAGGGTGACCATTGTGGTTTAAACCATGATAATCCCGCCACACATCACTGTTTTTGCTCTGGGGGGGCGGGCTATCTTGTCGTCCTTGTACATCCACTTTCTCTTTTTTAATATCGGCTTCTTAGTTGTAGGTGACACGATGTCTTTAGTTTTCTGTGGTGCTGAGGATGGAACCCAGGGCCTCGCGCGTGCCAGGCGAGTGCTCCATCTTCCCTTTAAAGCGCTCTCTGGAGCCGTGTTTTCCTCCGCTGTCCGGCCCTTGGCCTGGAGGGGCTCTCGGACACCCTGCACCGACTCCTGTGAGCGGGCTCTCGGGGTTTCCATGAAAGGTCCTCATTCCACTTTCACTTTGGAAACACGGTTTGCTTCCTGCCCAGGGTGTTAGGTTCATTGTCTCTTCTCAGCAGAAACCTACAACGGGACGCGGAGACCGCAAACGGCAGCAAGCTCCTTCCGACTAGAAGGGCCTGGAGCAGGAGTCGTGGGGTTGGCCTGGGAGTTTTGGTCCCTGGACTTTCCTCCTCGCCTTCTCTCCTCCCTGTCCACGCGCCCCTCATTCTTACTGAGGGTGCTCCCCGTGTCCCCGTTAGTCTCTCTGTTGGAAGGCGGCGTAGGGCATGGGTGCGCGGTGCCCCCTGTGTCCTCGAAGACCCCCCCCCCTGGTCCGGCCCTGCCCCACCCCTCCCTCGCCCCTGGCCAGGCTGCCTGCCCTGTGCGTCTCCCCACCCTCAGCTCCACAGGTCGGCAGTTAAAGATGCCCTTGGACCCTTGCAGTTCTCACAAGCCGCTGTGACTGCCTCTGTCTCCTCTTTGGATTTGGCAGTTGGGGCTGGAGAGCGTCTGCTCCTCCTCTGGGAGGGCATCACCGGGGCTCTCTGGGCTTTGGGACGTGGGGTTTTGTGTTCCATTGTTTCTAGAATGTTCCCAGCTGTCAGCTCCTCACCTGCTGCTTCTGCCCAAGTCTGTCCTCTTTCTGGGGCCATGGTACACAGGGCAGTGTGGCTCACCGTTGTCCTGAGGTCTTGACATCTTGTCCTTGTTTCCCCCTCCTCCGTCTTCTCTGTGTTTTAGTCTTCAATCCAACGAAGCCACACTTGGCTGCGTTGAGTGTGAGGGCCGTTGAAGGGATTCTCCGTGACTCTAATCCCCCTCGCTGCTGGACCTTCGTCGGTTCATACGAGACGACCCCTTAGTGCTCTAGTCCCAGTGTCCGGTGCCTGTGGGTGGCCGTCGTCCTGGCTGTTTATGATCCGCGTCTGCTGGTTGCTCTGTCTTAGACCTCGGAGGGTCTTCCCCTTGCTGACTTGTGTCTTATGATTTGTGGGTATCAGACCCCAGCATTGTTACTGGGGTGCGCGTGTCCCTGGGCCGTCGTGTTCTCACAAGAGAAGATTTCAGGCAAGACGTGAGACGTGCGTGCGGAAAGAAGAGCCAAGGTTCATTAGAGGAGAGAGGAAGCCAGCACCCTCAGGGAGGGTGTGGCTGGTCTCAGAAGGAGAGCGACAGCCCCCGTCCTGTGTCCCAGCTTTTATTGGGAATTTTAGGGGAATTTCCCAAAGGGTCTCGCGTGAGCACCACATCAAAGTTCTTGTTGGCGCTTGTATCGCAGCGCGTTGCAAACTCCCTAGTATGTCATGTTCATTCGTAGGTATCCGACCCGGACTGAGGGGGTGACAGGTCACAGTCCCAGTGAGATCCTGGGAAGGACCGAAAGGCAACTTTTGGGGTGGTCCTGGCTTTGCTGCAGGTTTTATCTGGAGCTTGTTTTTACAGATTTTGTGCCAGCATCTGGCCAGGACGATCTGTCTCTCTGAGGAGGTGCCACCCCACTTGCCTAACTGCGGGGTTGCCCGATGCCCACTGCCTTGGGTCTGGGCTGGCCCAGGGCAACTTTGAATGAATGATTTTACAAAACACAACTGGGGACGGCAGGGTTGCCCCGCACGGGACAGTAGCCCGATCCCCAGTGAGAAGCCTTCTCAGACTTCCTGCCCCTCCTCCAGAGAGCCGCCCTGCCCTGCTTTGGTTTCCTGGGCAGAGGAGGTGGCTTGCCCTCTGTTGGAGGGTCCTTTAGGCCTGTTTCCCACCCACCCCTCAGGGGACAGGGTGTTTTCCACCGTCCCCCACCCTCAGTGAGCCCCAGGAAGGGGGTGGGACACAGATTCAGGTCTCTCCCCCACCAGGGACCCTCCTCGTCAGCTCAGCCAATGGGACGAAGGCTCTTTGGGGAGTGGCCACTGCCCTTCCCTTGTTCTGCACCTTTGGAAATACACGGAGACAGGGGGCAGCAGGGAGGCTGGTTTATTAGCTCACGTGGGCTTAGAGAAGGCCCCTGGGAGCAGGACTGCCCGGGGGACAGGCAGGGCAGGGGCATCAGCACCGTCCTCCCGCCCTCTCCCCCAGTGCAGAGGGGCCACTGGCCGTGCTTTCCACCGTCCCCAGTGCTGGCAGGGTGCAGGGGTGGCCGCCTGCCCTGGGAGCCGCTGGTCTGTGGCGTGTGGTCAGCAGCAGGCGGGGGTGCTACAGGAGACGGGTCTGCAGAGGAGGGTGGGGCAGGGGGGCTGGCAGCACCCGGAGGACTGGCAGCAGGGGGCCACACACACGGAAGGACGGCAGCTCACGGGAAGGCACCCGGAGGACTGGCAGGAGGGGGCCACACACACGATGGGCCTGCAGCTCACGGGCGCACAGCAGGCCACCTGGCACCTCACGGGCACACACACAGTGGGCCTGCAGCTCACGGGCACGCAGCAGGTCGCCTGGCACCTCACGGGCACACACACAGTGGGCCTGCAGCTCACGGGCACGCAGCAGGTCGCCTGGCAGGGGCTGGGCAGGCAGCAGGCCGGCTGGCAGCCTGAGGAGCAGCTGGTGTGGCACATGGTGGCTGAGGCTGGCTGGTGCTGGGGAGGAGGTGGTGAGGTCTGGCGCCTCCTCCCCTGGCAGCCCTTATATGCCGGCCGGGCGTCCGGGCAACACGGAAGCTCGGCCGGGTCTTCCTGGCTTGCTTCCTCTGCCTGGGCCACGCTCACGTGGCTGCTGTAGCTGTGGCTGCTCTGCTGGGCCCCGTGACTAATGGCCCCTTCCTGGAGCTCTGGGGCTCAGGGAGGTTGTTTCTAAAGAGCAGTTAGAGGTGGCCTTGGGGCCAAGCTGCAGGGAGGTGGGGCTCCCCGGGTGCCGAGTGTGGGGCAGGTGGAGGGTTCAGCCTGTGTAGACCAAGGACCAGGCCTGATAGCCCCACACTGGGGACTGGGCTGGGAGCCGGGAGACGCCTGGTGGGACAGAGTCAGCAAGGCCGAGGTCCCTCGGCAGGTCATCAACCCTGAGAAGAGGGAGGAAGAGGTAGGAGAAGTGAGAAGCACCTGGCGATGCCTCACACCGTCCCACACAGGCAGAGGGGAAGGGGGGGACCGACCAGCCATAAACAGGTGTGGAGATGACACAAGATTCCCACAGTGGACAAAGCCAGTTACGGCTCCAGAGTCTCAAGGGACCCCAGCAGGCAGAGAAAGCCCCAGCGAAGCGCGCACTGGAGCGCGGATTCAGAGAAGGTGAAGGCCGGGGGCAGCAGGATGTGAAGGCCACTGGCCCCTGCAGAGAGGAGGGCGCAGGCCGGCATCATCAATGCAGGGGACGGGAAGGGCCGTGGGAGTCTGAAACCCAGCACCCGGGAGCCAGGAGCACGCCTCCAAACAACAGAAGCAGGTGACCCTCTACACAGAGCTGCAGGGGGACATGCAGGGGGACGCGCTCCAGGCCGATGAGAGGTGGACGCAGGAGCCGGAGGGAGGAGGTTGCAAGGCGGTGGCTCCGGTGGCTCAGGTGGCACAGACACAGTTCCCGTCCTCGACAGGTGGCCCACTGAGGGGCCTTCTCACGCTCAGTACGAGTCCGTCTCTGTGGTCACACTGGGTTCCCGTGGTGGTGCTGTGGCCAGCAGCAGAAGAGCCTGTGGAAGGGCACGACCCGTGGCCACTGTGGCTTCTCCTCCGGCCTCCAGGGTCACTCCCTCCCCGTGGACACAGACTGGCTCTGGTGCGCCAGCTTTGAGTCCTGGCTACAGCTTTGGCCTCCCAGAGACAGGGTGGTCTCCAGCCCCGCGGGTTTTCATTACTGTGGGGTCTGGCTGGTCCCAGGTCTTCTTGGACAAAGTCCCCCTTGTCCACTACCAGCTGCCCACAAGGACAGAAGGCTCCCTGGTGCAGCCCAGCAGGAGAACAGCACAGGACACAGCTGTGGCCGGAGCACGTGGAGGAGGAGTCCTGGGGCCGTGAGGCAGGGAGCCCACCGCCGTGGCTGCCGTGGCCACAGGGACAGTGCCCAGAGCCATGCCAGCTCTTGGCTCTGCCCCGGCCTCCACTGAAGGGCGAGGATGAGGGCACCATGGGCTGTGAGGGGGTCTGGCACAGCCCCTCCAGGCCCCCTCCTCCTGGGCTCCCCTCCGGGCTGTGGGAGGCCACTGGTCCAGCAGTGACATTTTGAGGCCCATGTGGTCACACACCCAAGACACGGCCCCCAGGCCCAATTAAGCTGATGTTTTCACCTTTCCACCATCGTCCCTGTCTGTCCCTGCTGATTTGGGACTTTGGGACTGTCACTTTGTGAGCCCCTAAAGCCCACTTTAATGTGCACCCTGGAGAGATGGTGGATCTGGAGCAGCGTCCACCTGCTGCTCCTGTGCCCGCGGTGGCGTGGATCCCACACAGTGCAGCCTGCTGGACTCCCACCTGCCTGTCTGTGCACACGGGCTGCCCCCCCACGGGTCATGGCCATGAGACTGCTCCATGGGGTGTGGTCACGGCGGGGCTCCTTCCAGCCTGTCCTCACTCCACGAAGCCCGGCTCTGGTGGGGAGCACCACGTGGGTGAGGGGGCTTCAGATCTGAGTGGGGCCCTGGGATGAGGAGCGGGCGGTGCTGTGGGGACACCAGACAGGGCATCTGCAGTGGGGGACCTTGGGAACCCACAAGGTGGCATCCCCTGGCCTCCACAGTCGGCCTCCAGCTGACTGGCCTCCGAGTTCAGAAAGCACACAGCCAGCTCGCCTCGGGCGCCTGCAACTGAGAAAGGGCTTCCTGGGCTGAGGGACCAGAGGGAGGTCAGCAGAGTGGGCAGAGCAGGAGGCCATGCCAGGGACAGGGCATCGGCCTCGTTGGGCCACACCAGCTGCTCCTTGGGCTGCCCCCAGCCTGTCCTGCCTCCCTGTGCTGGGTCCCCTCCTCCTGCTGGCCAGCCCCTGTGTGACTCTCTGTGCTGCTGTGTGTGTGCCCAGCCTCTGCCTGGAGGGGGCATGTTTGTGCCTGGGAAGGAGGCCATGGCTCACCCGGGTCTCCCAGGGAGCTGCTTGGGAACCAAGGAGTCCTCAGGAGGGTGGCAGCCAGCGCGTCCCTCTGCAGACTCCCACTGGCCAGTCCTACTGTTGTGATGCCCTGTGTGACGAGGGTGTGACGTGCAGGAGGGATCCCTAGGGCACCTTGCTCATGTGAATTCTTACTGACCAGAACAGCTCACCTGTGTGTACCTGGGCAGCCTCCAGGTGGGGGATGTGTGACAGCTTCTGCCAGGTGTGCCCCAGTGGGGAGACCTCCCATCACATCCTGGCTGTCCCCCAGACAACCCAGGGCTCTTGGCTCTGGCCCCCAGGCAGCAAAGTGTGGCTCTGTCATTGCCTCCTGTTTGGAGGAAGCCTTTGAAGGTAGAGACTGTCCCTGTTCTGTGATGAGGGTCGTGGGGACATGCATCTCCCTCACTGGGTCTGGGGGTCCCGGCACTGAGAACTGTGACCTCTGAACACACTGCCTTGCGTGGTTGAGTGCAAGGAAGCCTGCCCTCCTCTCCAACCCTCACCTCCTCTTCCAAGTGGGCTGGTGTGGCCCTGAGGACATGCAAGCATGGTCAGCTGCTGGTCAGCACAGGGCTGCTGGACACGCGCCATTGTTGAGGGGCTGCACCCACCCATAGCTGTCACTGGTGTCCCATCAGGTGCCCCTGGGATGGGAGGCCACAGCGGTGGCACTCTGTCCATCAGCTGGACTGTGTCTCCAACTCCCTGCAAGTTTCGTGTCACTGGAGTCTGTTGTGACCTGTGCAGCAGCAACAGAGGGTCTCAGGGAGGGTGACAGGAAGTGAGGAAAGACGCTGATGAAGAAAAACATGAGATGTTTTTAAGTGAAGCTGGGGACAGGAGGGACACTGCACTCTGACAGAGGAACAGGGACCCAGAACTAGCTTCACAAGTTTATTATATGGGGTCACATTATCAGGAGGTAAAACTACAGATGATCTGCTAATGGTTCAGAGCCTGTGAGTTATCCAGAGACATGTTTGTGCACTAAGAAGTTGTGGTGTTGGGACGTCTGTGGCCGTCCTGCTGTACCCAGAAACCCACTGAACTGGAACATCTGATAACTGTTGGCTTCAGAGCCAAGGGTGGAGGCTTTTCACACATCCTGCCTTTGGCAAGGAGGGTTTCCCAGGTGTGGCTTTGTGAACACCACAGATCAGCTGATGACTGCAGCTCATCCACTCCCCACATCACCCCACTTTTAATTATTATTGTAACGATGTATGTCTACTTGGAGGTGTTGGAACTGGAATTGGACAAGCTGGCAGTTCACTGTGAGAAAAAAAGCATGGAATTGAGAGCAAGGAAATAAGTCTTAAGAGATACCATACAGTATTTTTAAACATTTTCCAAGGACTAAAACCATTTAGGCATCCCAGAGCTTTTCTGCAAAACTGGAAGGAAATAACATGGGTCTGGATTTCCTGCTTGGCTTGGATGGGATGGTGCAGTTGCAGAAATCTCAACTCACATTGTTATAATTCCAAATTCCTAATAGATGCCTCTTCCCCCAATCCCATTGGCAGCTATTGTGTGGAACAGGTGTTACACAAACAAACAGAGAGTGACATGGCATAGTAAGTGTTGCCTGACCTTAAAACTTTGCATCTGATCACCTAGGCCCACTACAATGCCTCTAAGGCATTCAGCTTAGCTTCAAGTTTATTATTAATAGCTCCCTGATCTCAGAGGGCTCTTGAAGTATTTTGAGCCACAGCATTGGTGATGGGGAGTGCTATTGCCCATTTCCTTTTCTTTTGATAACCAGCTACTTGTCCTTTGCCCTGTCTCATTCCCCCCTCTAATTAAGGGAATCTTTGCTGCTCGTAGGGGAAATGGGCGATGACCGCTCTGGCTGCTTTAGACTGAGAGGGAGCAATGTGGCCAAGCAGTTTGGGTTTCCCTTTAGGAATGTTTTGGGTTAGTTGAGGGGTCTGTGGTTTGGAAAGAATAGGTTGTAAAGTGATCTGGGTGTGGGTGCTTCTATGAGAGAAAAGAAACAAAAATACATGAGTACTGGAACAAGATTAATACAAAATAAATGTTGCAGCATCTGGAATATGTCAGTGAATATCAGGAAGACGATGGAAACCACTAATCTTTCACCAGGAGCTAAGAAGTTGGTCCCATAATAGGGCCAGTGAGGACATGGCCTCTATTTGGGAATGCAAATCTTTTACATTGCCAGTAGGGGCAGTCCTAAGACTCCCTCTTTTGTAGCCTCCATCTTACTTACTCTTGCTGTGGCTGACACAAGTGTACATCTTAAGTTACACTAAAAGAACTGTTGTGTTTTCTTTTAAATGCTCAGGCATGGCTCTGTTTTGGTTATAACTGCTTTGCTAGGTGTTTAAGATCAAGTTGCTCAAATTGACATTGTTCCTATCTATTATTAAGACTCAGCTGAGTTTCCTCAGGGGTCACTCTTGGGAACTTGAGAGAAGCCTCTTTGTTCCTTTAATGCCAGCTTCCAGGATGGGTCTGGGTCTCGTTGACCACGTGGATTTTCTTGGAAGTAGCAGGGACATCTCCTTCCCCAATGCTCCTTCTTTTGCAGCATGGGCACTGGTCAGCTTTCTGTCCTCCAGGGTCTCATTGATCCCCCTGTTTGGGAGGTCATGTGGCCCAGAGTCACAAAGCCCTTGGAGAAGTCCCCTTGTTCCTGGGTCTGAGCTGACCTCAGGGGGCAGGAGCCAAGTATTGGCTATTTTCTTTCTTGGACCTTTAACTTCCTTAAATTTAGTCTCCAAATTTTGGTCTTAAACATCCAGCAAGCAGTTTCATCAGTCTCAAAGTAAAAGCACTGGGTTTTAACTTTAATGTCTGTGATTTTAAGTCATTTACCCCTTCTATTTAATTGGGGTCAGCATTAGTACTGGAAGTTAGCCTTACATCCTATCTGTCCTGTAGCTAATGCCTGTTATCTCCAATTAACTCAGGCTCTTCTACTGAAAGTTGTACTTTTGTAAGGCATGATCTGACAATAGTTATAAAGTTTACAAGAAAAATATAAAATGAAATTAACAAGAGTAAAAACATATTGAGTTTTTTTATAATAGGTATGAACCAAGAAACATAATTTTTATGATCCCCAATTTTGACTTTAAATTTTAGTTTGAAGAACACCAGGTTGGTAAGATGTTCTTCTAAACCTTATATTTTAAAGACTTCTATACTTGGAAGATATGAATATATCCAGTGTACAAAGAAGCCGGTAACAGCACCACAATGATACTGATGTTTTTATATTAATCAAGTTTAGCCTTTAAAGAAAACATTGGAATCTGGAATGTAGTGTAATACTTTAAAATAACAAAATAATAAAATTTGTTATTTAACCAGAGTTGTACAAACCCTAATTCCTTTCAGACTAGTTCCTCTAAATAATAAAACATAACAGACATAAGGAATTATCTTTATAGATAAGAGCAGATTCATGTTTTAAGAAATTCTTGTTACTTCAACCTATAGAGGATTAAACTTTGGTTTATATCAGTATGTTTATATTTGACCTTAGGAAAAGGCCGTAAGTGACTTTAACTGATTGTGCTTATTACATGTAGCCAAGAGAGTTACACATAAAGGCTTTTGAGATTTCCCTACTACAAACCTTCTTCAAGTTACTAATTCTACAATTTTTACCTTACTACACAAAAGACTTTTTCTTTTTAATCCAGAAAGCTTTTTTCTTTTACTTTCCATATTTAAATATATTTTCATACCTAGAACCTTCTTATATCTCTTTCCTAGCCTTTCACTCCTATTCAAATTTATATTCTGAAAAAATCCTTATGAAATGTTGAATTTAGACAAATTACTCCACTTTCATAAGATAAAATACTTTGTTTTAGTAGTACTTTAATTGAAACTCAACTGAAATTTCTTGTATTCTTTGTATATAGAATTACATCTGGGGCTGGGGATGTGGCTCAAGCAGTAGCGCGCTCGCCTGGCATGTGTGCGGCCCGGGTTCGATCCTCAGCACCACATACAAACAAAGATGTTGTGTCTGCGAAAACTAAAAAATAAATATTAAAATTCTCTCTCTCTATCTATCTTTAAAAAAAAATTCTGAGGTTTGCTTGTTAACACAGCTATAGAACTGTGATTGATTGACTACAACATTTAAAATCTGTTCGGGTGACTATGACCAAGACTATGAAGAACCAGACTTAAAAAAAAAAATAGAAGTACATCTGATAGAATTATAACTCTTAGTAACCTTGTTTTTAGTGAAGACACAGAAACAAAGCAATCTCAATTTTTTTCCATTTGCCAATTTATGAAAACACATTTAATGTTTAAATATATTACCTTATGGAATTTAAGAAGTCAAAAGTTTGATTTTATATTTAGCAGTTGATGCTTTAGTACTTTGTAAGTTAATCAGATTTTTTAAACAGACGTTTATGAAGATTGATACCATTCATAGCAAATCTAATTTAATCATTTTTTAACTGTAAAAACCAGGATGTTGGGCTGGGCTGTGGCTCAGTGGTAGAGCACTCGCCTGGCATGTGTGAGGCCCAGGGTACGATCCTCAGCTTCACATAAAAATAAATAAATAAAATAAAGGTATTGCGTCCAACTACAACTAAAAAAATAAATATAAAAAACCCCAACCAAACAAACCAGGATCTCAGACAAGTGTAATCAACAGTACTAGCATCTCGTTCCTGTTGAAGAAAAATCCTAGAAGCTCTGGGTATTACCTTCTAGACGTTTTATAGAAAGCAACACTCTGTTAATTGTCTGACCCCTAGAAAACCTTGTGAGTTAGTAATTTTAAAGACAACTTTACTCTCATCTGATAACCTAACTTGAACTTTTTTTTTAAAGTCACATGAACTAAAGGTATTTGGATCCATTTTTCATTTAAACTTTGATTTATGAGAGCTCCTTTATCTACCTGCAATTTTGACGCCATGCACCTGACCTGTGGGTGCAGCACACATGCAGACTCAGCGCCACCCCCTGGGGTCCACATGCACAGACAGGAATGAGGCTCTGTGGCTGTTTGCAGGTGACCTCCCCAGGTGGGAGGCGACACTACAGATGGTTATGAAGCCTCTATGGATCTCACCTGTTAGACTGAAGTAGAGTCCCCCAGACTTTTGCTTGGTGACTGAAACACAGAGGCTGTACACCTGGAAACGTCAGGTGTAGGTCTGACGATCATGGTGGGCGCCGAAATCAGAGGTTTGGCTGGCCATTGCCCTCAATGGCTATCAGATTTATTCCCAACATCACCACGACTATGTCCTTTTTAGGATTTTGTAACAGGAGATTTTCCAATGTATTTGAGAGCTAACCCTTGAAAACTTGGCCTCTGAACAGAGTGTAAAACCTCTATAGTTAGATTAAATAAGATCGATGAGAAAAATACATTGATTTAGGTGTGCAGACCCAGTGTGAGTTCACACAGCAATGGACCCTGGAGAGCAGCCAGGCACCTCCAATTCAGCCACTTTGCGGGGGACCTCTTAGGGTTTGCTGCCCCTCTTCCTGGGGGTGAGCTCAGCTGGGGAGCACCTTGCAGAACCCTGTCCCGGGGGCCTCTGTTCCTGGTCCCATCCACCCGACTCCACTCTTCCCTGGTTCCCAGGACTCCTCCCATCTGTGTCACAGGGGCCAAATGGGGTCCCCCTGCTGACCTGGCTAGTCTGACTGTTGCCCCCCCTGGCTCTCCAGGCTACAGGTCCACTGAGACCACGGCCTCGCCCCAATCCCTCCTACCCCCACCTGTTGCCTTCCTGAGGGTTTGTGCCTCCTCAGCCAGGCCTGGACCTCACGTGGATGAATGGAGTCCAGGTGGCCCCTGGGCCCTCTGGAAGTTTCTGAGCAGGAATTCTTCACACTTCTGTGGGGGGCAGTCTGTAGGCACTCCCTAGGCAGGTGCCTCCCTCCCTGGCTGCTGTCCTGGTCACCTCTGGAGGCCCGGGGCACTGCCCAGCCCTCTCAGGTCCCCAGCCTGCCGACATCCTGCTTCTCGCAGCTCATCTGTGACCCTGTTAGTGGCCGCCGGGGCAGAGGAAGGAAGTGGGCACGGTACTTCTGCTTCCAGATCTTTGTCTCTAAAGTGCTGTGAATCTGAGTTTGAGAGCTGCGCAGCTCGTAGAGGACAGTGGGCCCACAGCCCAGACGTGGAGCAGGCACCGGGCTCAGGAGAGACAGAAATGCACAGAGGCCATGTTTCCTAGAGAAAGGCTTTATTGATTCAGGCTTTGACCTTGGTCACCGTGGACGCAAGAGAGCAATGCTGACAAGAGGCTCTGGAGTGCCATCTACGGGTAGAGGGACTTGAGGGTGCTCTCTCCCCAGGGAGGGAGGGAGCAACTCCTTCAGGCAGCAGCCTCATGGCCACCAAGCAGGAGAGGGGAGGTTGTGGTGGCTCCCAGTATCAGGGATTCCTGAGAGAAGAATCCTGCTTAGGAGAACAAGAGGGGCTTGCAGAAGCAGGCTGTTGAGCCTGTCAGCAGCAGGACCTCTGGCCCAAGGAGACACCACAGCAGGCCGGGCGGGAGCAGGTGGGGCGGCAGAGCAGGGACACGCAGGAGGCCGGGCGGCAGCAGCTGGGCTGGCAGGAGGAGGCACAGCAGGAGGAGGCGGGCATGCAGCAGGCGGGCCTGCACACGGGGCGGCAGAGCAGGGACACGCAGGAGGAGGGTCTGTAGCAGCAGACGGGCTTGCAGCAGACGGGCACGCAGCAGGACGGCTGGCAGGGGGAGGAGCTGCAGCAGTCAGACTGGCAGCTAGACTGCTGGCAGCAGGAGGAGGAGGCTCCAGAGCAGATGGGCACACAGCACACGGGCTTGCAGCAGACGGGCTTGCAGCAGAGGGACACACCGCAGGACGGCTGGCAGGGGGAGGAGGAGCAGCAAGAGGGCTCACAGCAGGACTGCTGGCAGCAGGAGGAGGAAGTCTCAGAGCAGATGGGCACACAGCACACGGGCTTGCAGCAGAGGGACACACAGCAGGACGGCTGGCAGGGGGAGGATGAGCAGCAAGAGGGCTCACAGCAGGACTGCTGGCAGGGGGAAGAGGAGCAGCAAGAGGGCTCACAGCTAGACTGCTGGCAGCAGGAGGAGGAAGCCTCAGAGCAGATGGGCACACAGCACACGGGCTTGCAGCACACGGGCTTGCAGCAGAGGGACACACAGCAAGATGGCTGGCAGGGGGAGCAGCTGGAGCAATCAGACTGGCAGTTAGACTGCTGGCAGCAGGAGGGGGTGCAGGAGCCGGTGCAGACTGATTGGCAGCAGGGTCTGGACACACAGCTCACTGGGGTGCAGAGGAGGGACAGGCGGGGGGCTGGGGCGCAGCAGCTGGGCTGGCAGCAGCTGGGGGCGCAGCAGGGGGGCTCGCAGCAGCTCTCTGGGCAGTCGTCCACCTGCCAGGAGGACTCGGGGCAAGAGCTGGAGCAGATGGACATGGTGGAGGCGGCCATGGTGGGTGTGCTGGAGGAGGGTGTGTGGGTGAGTGTGTGGGTGTGTGTGGGGAGCTCTGGGCTCTGGCTTTTATACCTGCCCGGTCCCTCTGGTCCCCAGCCCACAGCCTCTCCTTCCGGGTTGCTGGGCCGGCTCCTGGCCGTCATTGGGGATGCTTGTTTACCTGGGAGGCTGTCCAGCTCGTTAATGTCCTGCCAGCGTCGGGGCCCCTGGAGCGGGAGTGGGTTCCGGGAGCACTGAGTGCTGGGGTGTTGTGTGTGGGAGGAGCTTGGCCACCCTGGGCTGCTGGGGCACCCTCCAGCCACTGGACAGCAGCCTCAGGGCCTCGTCTCCCTTGGAGGGAAGCCTGGGCACAGAGGTGTCACCTGAGGCTCACACCCCTCCCCAGGGCCCGTCACCACTGCAGGATGCTTGGCACCTGTACTGAGCACCCAGAGTCCAGGGTGCCTGGTGCCCTGCCCGGGGCCTCATGGCTGTGTGGAGCTGGACAGCCTGAGCCCTGCACAGGTCCTCATCCCTCCACCTCTTCCTGCCTCCTCCCTGTGGCCCTGTCCATCATGTCCCTGTGCCTGAGGACAGCAGGCCTCCATCCTCAGGCCAGGATGGAGGGCTGTGCCCTCCCCGCTGGGGCACCAGGCAGCCTCCTGGGCCGCGGGTCCAGGTTCTGAACCTGCAGAGCCAGGACTGCCCGTTGGCCTTAGCCCTCCTTGGGCCGCCTCTCCATTTGCCCTGCTGCCCGCTGTCCTGGGCACCTGTTTTCCTACCAACCCCCTGTGGGCCCAGTTTCACACTTTTCCTTAGACCATATAAAATGCTCTGTCGAGTTCTGCTTCTTCATGTGGGGAGTGGGCTCTTATCAGACTGACCATCTGTCTGAGAAAAATGAGGAACCTGGTTAACAAATGCAATCTCCACTGGAGGGCCAGAGGATGCACCAGGAGCTGAGGCTGAGGGACCAAGTCCCCATCACCCATCACAGGGGACACAGCAGGGACCACTACTTTCTTGGATTTTCTTCCTGAGGCATTTGCCAGTTCACAGGTCACAGACGAGAGGTTGGGAAAGTGGAGAGAGATTTCAGTGGTCTTGGGGACTGACCACCAACATGAAGTGAAGCCAAGTCAGCTCACAAGCTGAGAGGGGAAGGGACTCTGGCCAGGCACTCATGCTTTTGTGGCAAACGCTGGGTCTAAGCGAGGCTGCTCCCTAGCAGAAGCAGAAGTAAGACCGGCCCCACCTGAACCAGCTCAGACTGAACTCAGGTGTTCTGCCGGAGCCAACAGGTGTCAGAGTGAAGGTCAGCCCACTGCGAGACAGGGGCTTCATGATGAAAAGGACCTTCACATTTTCACTCACAACATCTTATTTTTATTCAAAAAGTATCAGGCCTAACAAATGACAAGATAAATTGACCAAGGAACCAAGAGGAAAATTGAAAACCAAATAGACCAAGAGGAAAAACGAAAACCAAACAGACCAAGAGGAAAAACAAAGACCAAACAGACCAAGAGGAAAAACAAAGACCAAACAGACCAAGAGGAAAAACAAAGACCAAACAGACCAAGAGGAAAAACAAAGACCAAACAGACCAAGAGGAAAAACAAAGACCAAACAGACCAAGAGGAAAAACAAAGACCAAACAGACCAAGAGGAAAAACAAAGACCAAACAGACCAAGAGGAAAAACAAAGACCAAACAGACCAAGAGGAAAAATGAAAACCAAACAGACCAAGAGGAAAAACAAAGACTGAAGAGACCAAGAGGAGATGAAGACCACACAGGTCCACAGGTGCTACAGAGATCTGAATGTCAATCACGGGCTTAAAGTAACTGTGATGATTTTTTTTTAAGACAATGGGGGGCTGGGGATGTGGCTCAAGCGGTAGCGCGCTCGCCTGGTGTGCCTGCGGCCCGGGTTCGATCCTCAGCACCACATACAAACAAAGATGTTGTGTCGGCCGAAAACTAAAAAATAAATAAATAAATATTAAAAAAAATCTCTCTCTCTTAAGACAATGGGGGAAAGATGGAGAATTTCAGTGGCAGAATTCTATAAAGGAATCCAACATGAGTTTATGGATGAAGAACATAATAACTGCATTGAGAAATTGGTAGTTCGACAAAGTCAAAGAGAAGTTTAGAGAATGAAGGGAGGTGAAGAAATCAAAATGGAGCCACAGAAAAAAGATAAAAGTAGAGAAACAAACATATAGGACTCAGTAGAAAAAATAGGTTTAATCCTACAAGGAGAGATGAGTGCGTAGAGGTAGTGAAGTATTGTCAGAACTTTAATTGATGAAAGCTATTAACCATAAACTAAAAACACACTGAGAATCCTAAGCAAGGCAGGGTACATACAACCACCCTGGCCCTGCTGGTGCTGAAATGTAAAGACAGAGAAATCTAAGAGGTCAGGGAGAAGGGGAGACAAAGTAACTTTAAAGAAGTAACAATGAGACTGACAGATGACTTCTCGGTGGGTATGTTGGAGTCCAGAAGACACTGGAATTGTGCCTCTGTCACCTGACGTCGGCCACAAGCCCGAGGTCTACCCCTGCTGACAAGGTCCTCACAGATGAGGACAGCCTCAGGTGGTGGACACCGAGAGCATATGCCGACGGCAGCATCAAAGCTGGAGAAAATACTTAAAGAAGTTTTAAGGTAGAAAGGAAATGATGAAAAGCAAGGAAACTGATAGAGAAGGGGCCACAGAGGCAGGCACATGCCGGTGAGTACAAATGAACGTTTCTCTGTGAATGTCCTATGAGTCTGTCAACATTTACAGAAATGAAGGACGTGGGAACAGGTCACAGATTCAGAGGAGAGCTCCATGGGGTCACAGGTTCTCAGTGTACCTGGAGCAGGTTTATAGGATCAGATCCTAGAGTTCCAACGTCACAGATTCCTGGGTTAGCTACACAGATGACAGAAGAAAATATGACCAAGCGGCAAGTGGGTGAACATGGTGGGTGAACGGCAGCTGCCCCAAATTCAGGTCCACCAAGGACCTCACAGTGTGACCTTGCAGATGCAGTGGGTAAAGAGGAAGTCATATTGGGTCAGAGCCGTAAGTACAATGGTTAGTGTCTCTATAGGAGGACGTCGAAGGAAGCCCCGACGCATGGTAGGAGGCATGACGTGGGCAGAGACTGAAGGGAGCAGCCACAGGCCAAGGGCCAGGGTTTGCCGGGAGCCACAAGACGCTCCAAGAGGCCAGGGAGGGCTCTCCCTCAGAGCTCAGAGGAGCATGTCCCTGCTGTCACTGTGCCTTCAGGGCTTAGTCTCTGGAACTGCACGAGCGTGAATCTCTGCCGTCTCAATCACTCTCCTGTGGCGTGTTGGTGGGCCGCCCAAGGGACTATTAAAATGGAGGCAAAAGAGGAAAGACATTTCAATGCACTTAACCAAAACACTCAAACAAGGGATGAGGGGGTCAATTATTTGTCCTGAGCAAAAAGCAAGGTCAGATGCAGGCACTAGCTCCAATGTGCCCCCGAAGCCCACCCCCTCCAAAGCTCTTCACACAGACGCACGGTCACTAGGTGACCCAGGTGTGCAGAGCTGGCCGCTGGGGTCAGATGCATGGTCACTAGGTGACCCAGGTGTGCAGAGCTGGCTGCTGGGGTCAGATGCATGGTCACTAGGTGACCCAGGTGTGCAGAGCTGGCTGCTGGGGTCAGTTCTCACCTCAGTGTTTGCTCCTGTGTCCAGCCATTTTCACCTCATTGGACACCATCTGTGCTCCTCTTTCAAGGGGTCTTTTCAGGTCATTTGCCATCTGGCCTCTGTCTCAGTTAGTTTTTATGCTGCTGTATCCAAAATAGCTGAACAACTTAGAGGAGGAACACTTTGCTGGGGCTCATGGATTCAGAGGTCCACTGCTCTGGACCCAAGGTGAGGCAGTGGACCAAGGGTAAAGGGGACAGTAGATGAGGCTGCACCCCTCCTGGCACCATGAGAGTGGGGGGGTGGTGGGGAGGCTGCAGAGGACACACACTCCTAGGGCAGTGGCCACTCCTGCTGCCACGCCCACCTACCTATGGTTACCACCCGGTCAGTCCATTCAAAGGAGGGTGGACTGACCAGGCCACAGCTCCCGTGATCCAGTCACTCCACCTCTGAACATTTCTGCATTAACACAGGAGCTTTGGGGGACCCCCACATCCAAACCATAAGAATAACATTTTAAACTCTGTGTGACTCTGTGAATCTGGCATTTTGGAAAAGGTGGTGATAAAGGGATCAAATGAGGATCAGTGGGGTAAGAGGCTGGGTTGAGGGTGAACTGACCCCACAGGGCAGGGGGAGCCGTTGGGTGATGGGAGTGTGCAGATGGACAGTGCTGCTGGCACACGAGGCCCAGGTGTCCACAGTGAGCACAAAAGAAAAATCAGAGTGTCCCAATCTACTAAAGAGTAGACTCTAGGTTTAGAAGACGTCCTACAAAGGACACCACAGACAACGCTTCCCCAGTGGATTCTCCAGACAATGGGGAGGGAGACTGTCGGCTCTCCAACACTCCTCAGCTTCCTCATGAGGCTGCTGGAGTCGCAGCCCTGGGGACTGGGCCTGAAGTCTTGGTGTCCACGGAGAGCAGCTGAGAGGCCACAAGGGTGTGACCCGGGGACGTGGAGGCCCATGGGAGCGTGGCAGGGACGGAGGTTGGAAGGGAGCAGGTGGTATGCACAAGCTGGCGCAGACTGACCAGCAGGAGGACCTCAGCATGTCACAAAATGCCGCCCCACCCAGAGTTACAGCCACCATAAACATGTCACACCTGACATGGGACCCCAAAATAAAGAAGAAACAGGCAGATTGAAGAAGCAGGCAGTTCCAGTCCTACAATAAGAGTGGAGACTTCAATAAGGCACTGAACCTCACTGAAAAACTGACTCCCAGAGCTAGATGCACGTCCAGAGGGAGGGGGAGGCTGGACGGCCCCTAAGGCAAGCAGTGACAGACCAGGGACACTCTCAGCCACAGGACACGCCTTCTCCCCTGCGGGCGCGACACCATCCTCCAGAGCCACCCACCTGCCAGCCACAAAGCTGCTCTCAATGACGTAAAGAGACTGAAGTCACACAGACTGTCCTCTGTGACCACAGTGACATGGAAGTGGGAAGAAAGCGGAATTCACCAAAACGGTCAGTCAGGCCACAGCAGGTGAAGGAGTCACAGGGACCTCGGGGGAAAGGGATGCCTTGGGATGAGCAGGAGGGAGTAGAAGCCCAAACCTAGGAGGTGTCGTGGAGCCCTGTGAAGGGAAAGGCTCTGAACGCAGACCTGAGAAATAAACTGCACAGTCCTCATCAGAGTAAGTACGCCCCACGCCTGTGCCACACACCCGAAATCCCACCATCAGGGGACTCAAGAGAACAAATGAAAATAAAAACATCTGTGGGGCTGGGGCTGGGCTCAGCGGCAGAGCGACTGGGTTCACTCCTCAGCACCACATTAAAAAAGGGGGGCATTTGTCCATCTACAACTACAAAATCTTTTAAAAAAATAATAAAAATAAAAATATTTGTAAATGGTAAAAAATAAATAAAAATATAAATAACAAATCAGTGATTTCACACAGTAAGAAACTGTAAAAACAGAAAACTAACTCCAAAGATAGCAGAATAACCCTTTAAAGATCACCCCACTAAAGAGTAGTATTACAGAAGTGACTAGGGGCCAGATAAATAGAGAACAGAGAAACCAATAAGAGAATCAGTGAAAGCAAAGGTGGTTCTTTGAAAAGAGCAATAGAATTGACAAACTTGTAGCTGAACTGAAAAGAAACCAAGATTCAATCATAAAGGAAAATGGAGACGTCACCACCCCCTTATGTGAATAAAAGACTAGAGGAGAACATCCGGTTGCTCCCCCAGTTCAACGAGGTGTGATGACAACTTCCTATGAATACACAAAGGACAGACTGACACCTTGTTGTACTTCTTCCTTGAACACCCTCAAGTCACCGCCTGGTTTCCTTTCCTCTCTGCCTGAGTCGCATTTCCTGTAAGGTAGACTCCAGTCACTCTGTCCCCTGCCCTGATTGGAATGTGCTGCGCCTGCCCCTGTTTTTAGGGATGGTTCCAGAGGTGACGTCCCCTTGGTACCCTAGTGCTCCCCTGCCCAGCCCTGCCAATGGGCTGGCCCCTGCCTGTGGCCTCCATGTCCTGTGACAAGCAGCACGTAACCTTCTCTTTGCTGCGTTGAAGAGTCTGTTTCTGACGCTGCAGTTGGATTATAATGCGTCTCCACGTGGGTCTCTGAGTTTATTCTGTATGGAGTTCCTGAGCTTCTTAAAAGTGTAGATTCAGGTGTTTCATTAAAATGGGACGTTTGGGGCGTTATTTCTTCAAAAGTGTCTGCCCTTTCCCACCCTCCTCTCCTGCTGGGACTCTGGTTATGTGTGTGGTATGCGTGACGGGCCAACAAGTCTCCTAAGATTTATTCACTTAGAAGTTCTGTCCTTTAGGTGAGAATATCTTGATAAACCTGACTTCATGGTCACTAATTCCTCGTATGTCCAATCCCTAGAGTAAATTTCTCATTTCATTTGTTGTTCTCCTCAATTTCAGAAATTCTATTTTATTTATTTTTAAAATCAACCCCTCTCTCCCTCTCCCTCCCTCCTTCTCCCTCTCCCTCCCTCTCCCTCCCTCCCCCTCTCCCCCTCTCCCTCTCCCTCCCTCCTTCTCCCTCTCCCTCTCCCTTTCTCCCTCCCTCCCTCTCTCCCCCTCTCCCTCTCCCCCTCTCCCTCCCTCCCCTCTCCCTCCCTCCCTCTCCCTCTCCCTCTCTCCTTCTCCCTCCCTCTCCCTGTCCCTCTCCCTCTCTCCCTCCCTCTCTCCATCCCTCTCCCTCTCCCTCCCCCTCTCCCTCCCTCTCCCTCCCCCTCTCCCTCCCTCTCCCTCTCTCCCTCTCCCTCTCCATCCCTCTCCCTCTCCCTCCCCCTCTCCCTCTCCCTCCCTCCCTCTCTCTTTATTGACATTCTCTATATTGGGTGGAACATCATTCTCCTGGATTCTTTCACTTCTGTGTCCATAGTTAGATTTCAGTTTCCTGAGTATGTTTAAGGGACTTACTTTATTTCTAGAGACTATTTATAACTTTTCTCCTTTGTAAATACTTTGGGTTATACATGAGTAGACTGTATTTGGACATAGCGCACATACGTGATGATGCGTGACTTCCCATTTTGTGGTGGTACCTCACGTGGAGTTAGACTGTCCACACACTCATCCATGAACACAGGAAAGTTATGTCCCCTTCTTTCTCCTGTCTTTCCTGTTCCCACCCCCCTCCCTCCCCCTCCCCCATCCAACCCAGGGACCCTCCACTCCTCCCCCCAGCTCCTACTGTGAGTCAGCTTCCATGCATCAGAGAGGACATTTGGCCTTTGGCTTTGGGATTGGTTTATTTCACTTAGTGTGATAGTCTCCAGTTGCTCTCCACCAAATGCCATAATTTCATTCTTTCCTAAGGCTGAGTCTCCATTGTGCATGTGTCCCATGTTTCTTTAGCCATCCACCTGTTGCAGGGCACCTGGCTGGTTCCGTAGCTCAGCTGTTGTGAGTTGAGCTGCTGTAAACCCTGATGTGGCTGAGCCACTGCAGTGTGCTGATTTAAGTCCTTGGGGTATCAACCTAGGAGTGGACCCTGGGTCAAATGGTGGCCCCATTCCTGGTTTTCTGAGGCGTCTGCATTCTGCTCTGCAGAGGGGTCGCACCACCATCAGTCCCACCAGCAGTGGGGCCTTTCCCCACCCTCATCAGCACTCACTATTGCCTCTGCTCTGGATGACGGCCATTCTGCCTGGAGGGAGGTGGGACCTCAGGGTGGTTTTCGTTGCGTTCAGAGCCTTACTTTAAAAGCACCATTTCTGCGTCTCCTCAGGGACAGTTTCTCTCCTGGTTTTTACTTCTCTGTGACAGGTCCTGCTCCCTGACCTGCCCCATGACTTTCGCTGAAAGCTGTTCCGTGAATATTAAAATGGGAAAGTCCCGGACATCAGATTCCCTCCTGTGCAGTTTGTGGCTGCTGGTTTGGGGCTTGCAGAGGGTTGTTGTGACCATTTTCTGAAGTAGCATTGTCATGACTGCAGTCTTCCTCAGCTGGGCTACTGTTCCACTGAGTTAGTGTCCAGAGAGTGACCTGAGCTCCTGGGACAGTGGAGTCAACAGATGACCCCCCCCCCCCGCTCTGCAGCTGGCTGTGCCCTGTGCTGGGCGCCTGGGCCAGCCTGGGCGGTTTGCTGGGCCATCTCCTCCACGTCCTGCTTGATCAGAGCTTGAAGGTCAGCCCCAGGGGACTGTGAGAGCTGCCCAGGTCTCCCTGAGCATGTGCCCCTCTGTGGGTGGGCCTAGGGCCTCCTAGATGCCCAGAACATTGGGGGGTCTTTCAAAACCCTTCATCCCTGAAGGGCCCCATCCAGCTTTGCTCAAGGCTTCTCAGGGCGCCGACTGTTTTCACAGACGACCTCCTTTGCCCAGAGGCCAGCTGATGGTCGATCCGCCTTTGCATGTTCTGGAAAACACCCCCACATTGCTGCTTGTCCCCCGGGGAGTTCCGAGTCTGCAGATATCCAGGCTGGCCCTGAGCCCGTCCTCCAGGGGCCAGACAGGTCAAAGGGACGGCCACCCCTCTTCAGAACAAGTCCCCACCCTGCCCCTCCCCTGCAGTGTCCATCAGTGCAGAGAGAGTGTGGGGCACAGGCTTTATTGATGTTCAGAGAGTGGCACTTCTGGGGACAAGAGCAGGGTCAGCAAGACACAGTCCCGACTGGGGAGGGTGGTGGCCTGGAGCAGGAAGTGGGGTGCAGCAGCCAGCTCTCCCATGGGTGGGGCTGGAGAGCAGCCAGGGAGGGCTGAGGCCTCAGACTTGGGCTGGACGGGGGAGGAAGGGCAGGAGCTGGTCCTTCTGTGTGAGCTCCTGCAGGCTGGGGTCAGGACACCCGGGGGTGGGGAGGAGGGACCTGAGCCCACTGGCCTGGGGACACGGCTGGTCAGCAGCAGGACCTCTGGCCCAAGGAGACACCACAGCAGGCCGGGCGGCAGCAGCTGGGCTGGCAGGAGGAGGCACAGCAGGAGGAGGCGGGCACGCAGCAGGCGGGCCTGCACACGGGGCGGCAGAGCAGGGACACGCAGGAGGAGGGTCTGTAGCAGCAGACGGGCTTGCAGCAGACGGGCACGCAGCAGGACGGCTGGCAGGGGGAGGAGCTGCAGCAGTCAGACTGGCAGCTAGACTGCTGGCAGCAGGAGGAGGAGGCTCCAGAGCAGACGGGCACACAGCACACGGGCTTGCAGCACACGGGCTTGCAGCAGAGGGACACACAGCAGGACGGCTGGCAGGGGGAGCAGCTGCAGCAATCAGACTGGCAGCTAGACTGCTGGCAGCAGGAGGGGGTGCAGGAGCTGGTGCAGACTGATTGGCAGCAGGGTCTGGACACACAGCTCACTGGGGTGCAGAGGAGGGTCAGGCGGGGGGCTGGGGCGCAGCAGCTGGGCTGGCAGCAGCTGGGGGTGCAGCAGGGGGGCTGGCAGCAGCTCTCTGGGCAGTCGTCCACCTGCCAGGAGCAGTCGGGGCAGGAATCCCAGGAGCCGGGCTGGCAGACGCGGCTGCCATAGCTCAGGTCGCTGGAGCAGACGGACATGGTGGAGGCGGCCATGGTGGGTGTGCTGGAGGGGGTGGGTGTGTGGGTGGGTGTGCTGGAGGAGGGTGGGTGTGGATGTGTGTGTGAGTGTGTGAGTGTGTGAGGACTCAGGGCTCTGGCCTTTATACCCGTCCAGGGGCCAGCAGGAGGCCCAGCCGCGCCCTTCCCTTTCCTGGTTGGTGTTGGCGCCTGAGGCCCCTCATTAGGGCTCAGCTCGTAAACCCCCTTTGGTGCTGGCAGAGCTGCTGCCCTGCTGAGTCCCCTGGGTCACCTGGAAGGAAGGTGCTGCTTTGGGGGCTGACCGTGCCCCTCGTGAGCCCCTGCCAGGGCATCTGGTGTTGGCTCCTGGCCCCGGGGACACGTTCTGTGTGTCCTTGGCCTCTGTGCGCAGTGGACCAGCCTGGCCTGTGGAGCCTCCTGGGTTGGGGAGAAGCCCAGGCGAGGGTGGCCCTCCCTGTGGCTGGTCTCTGTGATCTGATGCTGCTGTGGGCAGCAAGGACAGGGAGACCTCGTCCCCGTGGAGATGGACATTCCAGGGAGGCCAGGGCTCCTTGGACATCTCTGCATCAGGACAGTGAGACCTGGGCACAGACCAGTCTGTCCGTCTGGCCCTTGAGCCTCCCCAGAGCCTGTGGTCACTGTCATGGCATGGCGGTCCTGGGTCAGCACCTGAGGATGGAGGTGACCAGCAGGAGGTGGTGTGGAGCGAGGTGGGTGGAGGAGCTGGAGGGATGTGTTGTGGCCCAGGCCTGTGCCCAGGGGGTCAGCCTGGCAGAGTAGCCCTGACCCAGGGTGGGGACAGTCAGCATGCCCCCTCCCAGATCCCGGGCCCAGCACAGGCAGTGGACAGTTCCTCCCAGGGCCAGTGTTTCAAGATGTCTGCAGCTGAGGAGAAGGGGTCAGATGGTTAGGACACGCATGGGCCAGGCCCCGTCTGTGGAGTCAGCAGTGGTCAGCACACAGGACAGGGCTGGGGACACGAGGACCATGCAAAGGCAGGCAGAGACTAAGAGTGGACCCTGGGACAAACCTGGGGAGACCAGAGCTCAGAAGTCCCCTGAGGACCCTGCCCCGCGACGGGACCTGCCTCGGAGCCACTGAGGTGAGATCCGCGGGCCCAGGATGTGGGGGTGACGCCCAGCCCGGGCCACCACTCCCGTGGGCAGCAGGGGCAGCCTGGCCAGCATGGGCTGCCAGGGGCTCTGGGCCGCCGCTGACCCCTGGTGACCCCAGGGGAAGAGGGATCCTGAGCAGCTCCTTCTGGTGAAGATGCTCTTGCACCGAGAACCCTCTCTGGCTGACAAGGGCCTCGCGGAGACCTGGGCACAGCCTGCTCCCAGACGGCCTGCCGTGGACACTCAGCCCCAGCCCTCCCCGGGCACCTGCCTCCCTCAGGAGGGAAAGCAAAGGGAGCGTGAGCCCTGGATGCTGCGGCCACACACAGCGCCAGGCGGCAAGGCTCGGGGCTCGCGGAGATCCAACCACGGCTGAGGGACCCTCGAGGCCTGGCCACTGGCCAGGCACTGGACACGGGCAGGAGCTGCTGTTGGCCACACTGCTGTGACCAGTTCACCAAGAGCCTTCCTGAGGCACCAAGGAACACGTGGAGCCACCAGAAAACACCTGCCCAGGGCTCGAGGGGCGAGGCTGGTGGCAGCCCGAGGCCCTGACCACCCACCTGGACGGGCAGCTGCAGAGGAGCCGGACCCAGGACTCAGAGCACCCAGTTCCTCGGGCAAGGAATTTCTCCCTGAGTGGCCAATGACCCGTCTCGCAGGTCCTGCCTGCAAGACCGCGGTGTGGAAAAGGCTCGTGTGTCCAGTATCGCTGGGTGCGGCCCCCTCCCGGAGCCTCAGCTGGGGTGACTCGACCATGATGTCTACCACTTTGTCCCTGTAAAGTGTAGAATGTTGCCACTATCTAGTTCTGGAACATTCTCCTCCTGCCCAAGAAGCCCTGCCCTCGTAGGCCATCACTACCCAGCTCCTGGTGGCCACTCATCTGTCCCTGTGGACCCTCCTACTCTGCCCATTTCATGTCAGTGGAATCATAGAACACAGAGCCTTCTGTGTCTGGCTCTTGGCACTTCATGTATGTTTTCCAGGTTTATCCAGTGTGGTAGCCTGTGTCAGGCCGCGTTTCCTTTTCTTGGATGAGTACTATTCCACACCATGGACAATCACTTTGGATCTATTCATGAGTGTTCAGGTCCTGGTTCTCTTCACTGTTTGGCTGGGTGAATGGTGCTGCTCTAACTTCTTGTACAAGCTTTGTTTAAATGTCTCTTTTCCGTTGCTTGGATATATATCTGGAATTGCTGGGTCATATGGTCATTCCACGCTGCCCTTCTGAGGGACTGCCAGACCATTTTCTGTGGCACCTGCGCTGTTCCGTCCCCACCAGCACCGTGCAGGGTTCTGCTTCTCCACGTCCTCGTCAGCACCAGCTGCTGTGTGTTTGGTCACGGTGACCACGGGGGGCAGGAGTTGGTGTCTCGCTGTGGCTTCCAGGGGCATCCCTGAGGGTCTTGTCCTGTGGCTCTGCAGCCACCTGCCCCGCGGTGGCCTTGAGCGCCACGATTCTGACTTCCCAACCTGGAGGCTTCCATTCCTTTTCTGCCTGTTTGCTTTGCCGGTCACTTTGGTGCACAATCGCTGGAGGGGGCAGGAGGCGGCCTGGTCCTGCTCCTGGGCTGAGCTGCCTCTCGCCCTGGGTGTGCTGGAGCTCTCCGTCCGTGCCCTCCTCCTGTTGGGGACCTTCTCCTGCCCGTGCTTGCCGAGGAGGTGGCTCCGTTGGCCTCTCTGCATCCTGCGAGACCCCCGGGGCTCCCAGCCGTGCCGTCAGAGGGTCTGTGCGGGACGGGTCTGCACGTGTCGGACGCTCTGGATCCCCGGGGAAGCCCGCTTGGTGGCGCCGGCCCTGCTTTGCCCTGGGCTTGGTTTGCGGTGTTTGGTGGAGGGTCTCTGAATCCATATTCATCGGGTTGGGTCCGTGGTTTTCTTTTGTTGTTTTTCTGGTTTTGGTGTTGAGACCATGCCGACTTCATAAACTGAGTTAGAATGTGTTCCTTCCTGTTCCATTTCTTGGGAAGAGTTTTAAAGGACTCAAATATCTCTTTAATGAACACTTAGCATTGAGGGCAGCAGGTCCTGGGCTCTTCCTCTGAGGGGTGCTTTTGACCCCTGATTTAGCATCTTTACCTACTGCAGGCCGCGCACTTGTCTACAGAAACCCAAAGAGGGCCAACTGTCAATAACAAAGCCAGACAAAGTGTAATTCGAGTCAAAAATTGTTAGGAGACAGATGAGGACTTTGAATACCAATACGAGGCTCCGTCTCTCCTGTTGATATGATGATCGCTCACATCTATGTACCCAACCTGAAAGCCCCAGGAGATACAGAGCAGAAAGGGCAGTTCTGATTCCACACAACCTGGGGACTCCAACGGCCATCTCCACCAACAAGAAGGGGCGGCACCGAACCAGGGCAGGGGAGCGCATTGAGAAACAGGCAACTGGGGGACCCAGAGCCCCGGCACACTCTCCGTCCAGCAGCAGCACGCAGACTGCTGCCACGCGGCCGCGCGGGCTTCCTGAAAGAAGGTTCGGTGCATAGAAACTGCTAGTGAGTTTGAGTCAAAGAGACGGACTCTCATCACCTTATCACAGCTCCAGACGCTTCTCCTAGCTCCTGCCTCCAGCCACCTAACGCCCTGGTGAGGTCACAGAAGAGGCCAGCGAGAGGGAGAGAGAGCACGCCAGGGAGTGGGCTTTTATTGGGGAACAAAAAATTCCCGGGAAAACCCATCCAATGAAGGTTAAGGGGGGCAGCACCCCAAGGTCAGGGGCGACAAAGGGTCTTCGGGGCAGTGGCCAGGCACGCCTCTGCACGGACACCCCTGGACCTGGAGAAGGGTGGGGAAGGCTCTGACACGGCTGTGTCTAGGCGCCTGTCACCCAGCCCGGGAGGTGACTCAGACCCCGGGCGAGGATGGCCTCCCACAGCCTGCGCCTCCTCGCCCCGGGGAGACGGGTCAGGCCACAGCGCTGCCTCAGTGAGTGTGACGTGACTGAGATCTGACAAAGCACCTTCTCTGACCACGGTGGAAGGACACTGGAATCCAAACAGAAGGAAAGCAGGAAATCCAGGAATATGTGGGAATCCCACAGCAGACACGCAAACAGCCAGGGGTCGAAGAGGAAGTAAGGGAGAAGTCAGGAGACTCCTGAGGGGCGAAAGGAGCAGGAGCCACCCGAGGGCGGCGGCCAGGGCTGTGTGCCGAGGGCGGTCCGCGGCCGTGAATGTCCACCAGGACCCAGGGTCTCAATCCAGATCCCAAGTTCACACCTCAACGAGCCAGAAAAAGTGAGTCCAAACTGACCCTGAAGCTAGTGGGGAGAGGGGCATAAAGACGGGCCCAGATCGAGGAAATCGAGGACAGAGAGACGCAGTGAGAATCAGCAAAGCGAAAAGGCCCTAGAAAAGCGCGATCAGGAGGCCCGGCCTGGAGCCAGACTGACCGGGGGAGGGAAGGCTCAGAATACCGAGTCGTACCTAAGAAGGCAGCACTGCTGACCTGGGGTCAGGAGAGGGCTCCCAGGTGCTCCTGAGCGGCCGGGTGCCCACAGACCCACAGCTGACCACCATGTCTTCCTCTGGGGGCCAGTGATCTCTAGGCCCCTTTATCTCAGCCTGGAATAGCACTGACCACAGGTCAGGTCTCCTGGTGGAGGACTCTGGCTTCCATTTGTCCCTGACGTCTTGCCTTCCCTCACTTCTGAAGGTGGCTGGACGGAGGCGTCATGGCCATGCTGGCCCTCGGCACCCTGACCCGCCGTTCCATCGCCCTCGGGTCCCCGGCCCAGGTGGCAGGTCGGCTGTGAGTCTGGCCACCCCCCGGTTTCCTCTCCGTCTTTCAGTGACGCGGTCCTGATGCGTCTCCGTGTGGATCCTGCTGAGTCTGTTCTACGTGGAGCTCATTGAGTTTCCTTGAGGAGTAGATTCTGTGTCCCATCCGACGTGGACACATTTCACTGACTGTTTCTTTAAATTTTTAAAATTTCCTATTTAATAAACACAAGCGTGATTCACCAGCTTGCAGAGGGTTGTTGTGACCATTTTCTGAAGTAGCATTGTCATGACTGCAGTCTTCCTCAGCTGGGCCACGGTTCCACCAAGTTAGTGTCCAGAGAGTGACCTGAGCTCCTGGGACACTGGAGTCAAAAGATGTCCCCCCCCCCGGCCTTGCAGGTGTCTGTGCCCTGTGCTGGGTGCCTGGGCCAGCCTGGGCGGTCTGCTCGGCCATCTCCTCCACGTCCTGCTCGCGCTTCACGTCCTGCCTTCTGGAAGAGCCTCCTGGGGCTGTGGACAATGTGAAGGCTGGCCCTGGGCACAAGGGACAGGGCAGGGACACTCTTGCAGCCCTGCTGGCCTGGTCGAGCCCGAGGGCTGACGTGCCCGTCCTCTGCAGACAGCGTGGAGTTCCCCGTAGAATGCCACGCACCTTGGCCCAGCAGTGACAGGGACGGTGTCCTTCTCAAACGGCGATGGATGAAGAGTCGTGCTGCGACTGTGGGCTCCCTCCTTGGAGAGGTTGAGGCTGGGCCTCTGGGGGACAGTGCAGCACAGTTGCCCCCTGTGTCCCTCTGCCCCTGTACTTCAGGAGACTGTCCTCGGACTCCCTTGGCCTGGGCGGCCTGTCTGCGCAGCTGGCCCTGCGTGTCCATGCGTCTCTGCCCCTGGCTGGACACTGTTTCCTTCTCTCACTTCCTGGGCTTCCCGGGCTTCCCGAGCCCATGGCCTTCCCTGTGCCCCTGTGTCCCCCCAACTCCAGGTGGGCTCTGGGGCTGCCTCTCTGTTCTCCCACCTGGCAGCTCCTCCATGATGGGGCCTGGGCATCCCTGAGTGCCCACGTGAGTGTGTGTGCATGTGTGTGTGTCCACGGCGTGCAAGGCCCAGGACGCTCACTTCCCAGATGGAGCCCTCTGGGTGCTGGGCCGAGGCTGGAGACCCCTCACCTCTGACCTCCAGCATAGCTGTGGGGTCACCACCCCAGCTGCCCACCTGGGCCCGGAAAGACGTGGTGTCCAGGGGGCGTGACCAGTGCACAGAGCCTGAGTCCCAGAGGACATGGACAGTGCAACAGCAGAACACAGAGGAGGACAGGACCCCCAGATCACGTGCAGTCACCTCAAGCGTCACTGCTGGTGAGGCGAGGAGGGTCCCAGAGGGAGAGGCCCAGTCCCCACCCTGCCCCTCCCCTGCAGTGTCCATCAGTGCAGAGAGAGTGTGGGGCACAGCTTTATTGATGTTCAGAGAGTGGCACTTCTGGGGACAAGAGCAGGGTCAGGAGGACCCAGTCCCGACTGGGGAGGGTGGTGGCCTGGAGCAGGAAGTGGGGTGCAGCAGCCAGCTCTCCCATGGGTGGGGCCGGAGAGCAGCCAGGGAGGGCTGAGGCCTCAGACTTGGGCTGGACGGGGGAGGAAGGGCAGGAGCTGGTCCTTCTGTGTGAGCTCCTGCAGGCTGGGGTCAGGACACCCGGGGGTGGGGAGGAGGGACCTGAGCCCACTGGCCTGGGGACACGGCTGGTCAGCAGCAGGACCTCTGGCCCAAGGAGACACCACAGCAGGCCGGGCGGCAGCAGCTGGGCTGGCAGGAGGAGGCACAGCAGGAGGAGGCGGGCACGCAGCAGGCGGGCCTGCACACGGGGCGGCAGAGCAGGGACACGCAGGAGGAGGGTCTGTAGCAGCAGACGGGCTTGCAGCAGACGGGCACGCAGCAGGACGGCTGGCAGGGGGAGGAGCTGCAGCAGTCAGACTGGCAGCTAGACTGCTGGCAGCAGGAGGAGGAGGCTCCAGAGCAGACGGGCACACAGCACACAGGCTTGCAGCACACGGGCTTGCAGCAGAGGGACACACAGCAGGATGGCTGACAGGGGGAGGAGCTGCAGCAGTCAGACTGGCAGCTAGACTGCTGGCAGCAGGAGGAGGAGGCTCCAGAGCAGATGGGCACACAGCACACGGGCTTGCAGCAGAGGGACACACAGCAGGTTGGCTGGCAGGGGGAGCAGCTGGAGCAATCAGACTGGCAGCTAGACTGCTGGCAGCAGGAGGGGGTGCAGGAGCTGGTGCAGACTGATTGGCAGCAGGGTCTGGACACACAGCTCACTGGGGTGCAGAGGAGGGTCAGGCAGGGGGCTGGGGCGCAGCAGCTGGGCTGGCAGCAGCTGGGGGCGCAGCAGGGGGGCTCGCAGCAGCTCTCTGGGCAGTCGTCCACCTGCCAGGAGGAGTCGGGGCCCAGGCTGGGTGAGCAGACCCTGGTGCCTCCGCCCCGGTGGCTGGAGCAGATGGACATGGTGGACGCAGCAATGACACAGGCTCTGGTGCAGCAGGTGTGCGCCATGCTGAGGCCCAGCTGGGGTGTGGGAGCTCTGGGCGGGTTTTATACTCGCGGAGTGTTTCCTGTAGGAGTCGCACGGCCTCCCTTTCCTTGTTGGTGTCGGGGTTTGTGTCAACACAGCTGACAACAGTTCACTGTGGGCATGGCCTGGGGCAGCGCCAGGTCCGAGTGTGGCTGGTGCTGGCGGTCACTGGCGGGAGTGTTCCTGCTGTGAAAGCCGGTGTCACCGCGCGTGCCTGGGCTGGCTGAGGTTGGCTGCTGGGGAGTCGGGTCTGGGAACCACGGCTTCTCCTCTGCCCTGTCTGTCCTTTGGTGTGACTTTTCACTTTGTGGTGCTTGCACTTGCTGTGCCACTCCAGCCTACGGCTCCTCCAGGGGACGAGGGTGCCCTGGCCAGGAGCGTCCCTCTGTGCTCTCCTGCTGGTCTGTCTGCGAGCTCTGGGGTGGCCAGCTCTCCTGCTGCACGTCCACCCCAACACCTCCTGCTTCTCCCACTTACTGAAGGGCCTGTGCCGTCTGCCTGTCCTTGAGTTTCCATTCTTGATATGATCCGGCTTCCTCCTCTGTTCGCCATGAGCCTCGGGGGGAGTCCCCGTCCCCACCCCCGGATGGCAGCGCTGCCTTGGTGCTGGTCACCTCAGAGCTTGGCATCCGTGGGACTTCCAGGTGACAGTTGGTCATGAGCAGGGTCAGCGGGGGCTCAGTGTCCTCCCTCGTGGGCGGCTTGGCTCTGGTTTGCCTTCCCTTCCTGGAGGGGACAGTGGTGGCTTCTGTGGTTTGCTTGTTCTCCTGTGCACCTGTCACTAAACCCTCTGCACACTCCTCGGCGGAGAGGTGCGCACACACCCGGGGGGCGGCCGGCTGCACTTGTCTCTGTGGGCTGTTCCCGTGGCCTGGGCGCAGGCATCCCCTGGAGCTCCCCACCCTGTCCTGTGGGATCCTCTGCGTCCCTCTCCAGTGGGGGACAGTTAATTCCTGAAGGCCTCGTCTTCTTCTCTCTGGACTCATGCCCCTGATTTAGTGGAGCACGTCCTCCCGCAGCTTTGTCAACATGGGTGTCATGCTGTGCACACAGCGACGTGTGTCTGAGCAGTAGCATGACCTTCAACGCCTTTTTCTGCCCTTGTGCTCGGTGGATAGTCCAGCTGGGTATGATCTGGGGCTTGGGGAGGCTCTGTCTCTGAGTGTCTGGTTGAGGCTGCAGAACTTTCTGAGGATCCTGAGTGATGAGTTCCAACCTTCCTCCTCCAAGAAGCACTTGCTGTTCCTCCTTCTCTGCCCCTGGTCAGCGTGGCCTGGTCCGCCTGGCCCTCTGTCTTCAGCTCTTCCCTCCAGGACTGCCTGGGAAGCCCCCTGGCTGTGACATCACGGTCACCCCTTTTGTCCTGTGTTGTGAACTGTGACAGTGCAGCCTGCTGCGTGTTCTCTATCCATTATCTTCCAAAGTCAGGGACCTGGGTCCTTCCAGGTTTTGGCTGGGAGTGATCCCGCCACCCAAGATGCTCCTGGTGTTTTCCGGTGAGTGCAGTTACTCGTCTCTCCACCAAACACCCTGCCGCCCCTGACTTCTAGAGAAGTCTAAGCCCCTCCCACCTCCATGAGTCCCACTAAACTCTGCTTCTACAAATGAGGGAAAGTGTGTGGGGAGGCTTCCTTTTGTGTCATCTGCATGTTGGTGAGTGAAACTGGTCACTGTCCCTCTGGGCACGTGTTCTTGAGAGGGGCTGCTTCCTCAAAACAGTCATTCATGTTCCTGTGGATGTGTGGACGTATGTTGTCCGTCTGACTCCGGGGTCCCGCCGTGTTAGAGGACAGTGGGGTGGTGACCCTTTAGGAACCGTCCTTCAGCAAAGCCAAGATGGACACGTTCATTTCCAGCTGTGCTGGTCAGCTCTTCTGCCACTGTGACACAAAGGCCCGATGAGGACAACTTTAGAGGAGGAAAGGGTTATTGGGGCTCGTGGTTTCTGAGGCCTCCGAGCACAGCCTGCTGACCACTCCTCGGGGCTTGAGGGGAGGCAGGACACTGGGCAGGAGAGCAGCTGGGGAAGGGGCTCCACTCACCAAATACACAGCCCCGGGCAGGCCCGGGGACCCTCCCCCAGCCACACCCCTGCCTGCGGCTGCCACCCATCGTCCCTGTCAGAGCACCATCGCGGGGGTTGGCTCAAGGCTCCCATAGCCCAGTCGATGCCCTTAAACTTTCTTGCGATATCTCCCACATGAGCTGAACCGTACCATCCGCCCGGCCCCCAAAGCTGACCTCCTCTCGCCATGCACAACACCTCAGTCCTTTTGCCAGAGTCCCCGGGGGCCAGCAGTTCCGGATTTCCCGAGAGCACAAGTCCAGACTGTCTTCTGGGGTTCAAGGCAAACTCTGAGCCTGAGCCCTGCAAGGATCAAAGGTGAGCTGTGGGGATGCTGTGGAGGACGGTGCGCAGGGGACACTCCCCAGCCACAGGGAGCAGGGCCTCCAAGGACGGGGCGGGCCAGTGCCGCCAGAACCCAGCTGGGCAGGCAGTCCTGCGGCTGCACGCCGGGCACCTGGGCACAGGGCAGGGTGGCGTTAGCCCCGTCCTGTGTGCTTGTGGTGGCAGCCACGTGGCCTCTGCTGGCTTCTCTGCCTGTTCCCGAGCTTCCCCAGATGAGGCCCCTGCTGCTGGCACTTCTTGACTTCAGTGGTCTCCGCCGAAGCTGGGTGTGGTCCCCCGTGCATCGATGGACGGCACAGTCCTCCCCCCGTGCTCGGGTGCCCCCCGCCGACCCTCACCCAGGGCTGGGGTTCACGTCTGGTGCCTATTCTGCTTCATGCTCCGCGCGTCCCTCGGATCATCGTAGCGTCACCTGTGGTGCCACCGGCTCGGGCTCTGGACCTCGGGAGACTCAGGGAATACTGGGTTCCACGGGGTTTTAGGATCTGGGCAAGGCTGGCAGACGCTCTCCCACGGAGCTACACCCGGCTTCACCCTTGGCAGAGTCTTTACAAGAAAGGAAAACCACGTTTTCCTGATTTTCTTAAAGTAAGATTGGAGCTCAGGGACTGCCCAGCTGTGGGTTGCCTGGGCAACGTGGACTCCCACCGGTGCTGACCGTCCCGTTTGAGTTTGCTGTTTCCCTTTCTGTTCTTCTGTGTCTTCAGGTCCCTTCACCCGTCAGTGCCACATCTTCCATTTCCTTGGGTAAACTTATCCTTGAGATTTTTTTCTTTTGTGGTGCTGGGGATTGAACCCAGGGCCTGGGCACGCAGGCCAGCACTCACCAATGCCACATCCCAGCCCTCCTAAGTATTTTTTTGCTGTCGTGGGGACTATTCATTCTGCTTTTGGATGGTTTTATCGGGAGTGTGCAGAAATGCCTCAGGTCTCTGAATGTTGATTTCAGGACCTGTATCCTCACTGGCTTTGTTCATGAGCTATGGCAGGTGTGTGTGTGCGTGTGCGCACGCGCATGTGTGCATGTGTGGGGTGCCCTCGGTGGTGCTGGGGCAGAGCCCAGGGCCTGGCAAGCGCTCTCCCACGGAGCTACACCCGGCTTCGTGAGGTTTTGGTGGAGTCTTTATAGGAAAAGAAACGTTCCGTCTTCCTGATGGTTTAGATGCAGGTTCCCCCACAGCAAACTGACGGTGACCACAGGTTAGAGAGGCAGCTCCCCACGACACGTGGAGTTCCTTCCAGGGAGGTGGCCGTGCACACCGTAGGAATGGCCAGGTGGGTCGCACCTTATTCACATAGATGCACATGAAGCATCTAACCACCCAACGTCACTCCTGCTGAAGACTTTAACGAAGTCCGTGTGCAAGGAAGATCCTCAGCCTTTCAGAGGCAGCTGCAACCACTCACAGCCGGCCTCAGGACAAGCCAACAGCTGTCCCTGTGGGGCCAGGAGAGGGCGGGAGGCCTCACCACGTCTGTCCCCCAGCGCTGGAACTCCTGGCTGAGCCGTGAGACAGGAGGGGAGAGGGGCGTCCACTCAGGCAGGAAGCGAAAGGGGCTGTTTGTCGCCCTCACTGTTCACACTGGGCGCTGAGCTCCCCGTGGTCAGCCCCTGTGCATCTGAGTGGACGTCGGGGCTTTCTTTCCTGAACAAATGCCCAGGTCGGTCACTGTCTTCCTGATGGCAGCGATGCCCTGATGGCGGTGAAGTGACAGCCCAGGTGGAGCCTCGGGTCCTGGCCTGCCCACACTCCTGCTCTTCTTTGTGGTCATCTCAGTGGCCGTAGGTTCCTGGGAACCTTCTCATCTAAAATCCCAGTTGTGTTGGCGTAAAGACACGATTCTTTCTCATGATCAGACATTTTTGTCTATTTACAGACTATGATAGTTTTGATATTTTGTTATTATTCATTTTCATATATTTAATTTTATTTGCTCTATTTCTCTAAGATTTTCCCTTGTTCTGAGTTTGGCAGGATTTTAAAAGTGCAGTCTCTGGTTTTATGCATCTTTCTTTCCATTTGTCAATGTCTCTTGGCGCCTCCTGGACCTTCTCCTCCGTCTCTAACTCCGTCCTGTTTGCTCGCTGGTCTCTGTGCCTCTTCAGGACCCACTGCAGCCCAGCTGCTGAGCGCAGACCCCATTCATCCCAATTCTGAGCCACAATGATTTCATTCCCCTCAACCCGGAGCCCCGCCCAGCTCCTGGTCAGGAGCCTGCTGGGCGACCTGGGCTGCGGCTCCCGTGGCACCTGCACCTCCCTAGATGGTGTTCCCACGTTTCAGCCACAGGAAGACAGAACCGGGATGCCCTGCGCAGGGTGCTCCTGCCAGCCAGCTTTGCCCATCTCCACCCTTGTGGCCCCGAGCCCTGGAGGGCACTGCCCGGCCGGGTGGTCACCCGCGGCTGTTCTGATAGTCATACAGACGTCCATGGCGTTGACCGAGCTCTGGGTGGGTGTCGTGACCTTTGAACAGGCCTCACTCTGTCTCCATCTGTGACACCTGGTGCTGAGATGTGCCCAGCGGATGGCTGCCCAGGTGCTGCCCCTTAACCGCCCACCCACTCACTCCCTGTGGTGACACACTCTCCCCTGCAGAAGGGCTGGGCCTCTCCATGTCCAGGGGGGAATCCGGCAAAGCATTGGATGCACACCAGGAGGATTTCCTAGGAGTGCAGCCCCAGAGCGTGGGACCCGGCAGGGCACTTCCCAGATGGCAGCACCTTCCCCGGAGTGGGCCTTTCTCACAGGCCTGTGCAGCCGTGCCCACCGCTGCCCTGGGTCCAGCCCACGTTTAATTGTGTTTTCTGAGCTTGGTGAGGCTGACCGTCACTGGGGCTGTTTTGACTGTTGGGCAAGAATTGCTTATGGCTTCTGTGAGCCGCTGACCCCCTCTGGGTTCACTAACTGTCTTCACGTCCTCATGGTGGATTCTGAACCGGGGTCTGTGTCGGATCTTGTACTGACAGGAGCTGGCATCTCAGTGGCTCCAGGCCTCGAGGCCCTTCCTCCTGTCCAGGGTCAGAGGTCCCTCTGCTGCCGGACGTCCCTGGGTGACGGCAGGAAGCCGGACCAACAGGGAGACGGTGTCCTAGAGGGGAAGGCGAGGGGCCGAGCAGGCAGGACAGGCCTGGCGCACAGAGCTCTGGGCTGGGTCCCCACGGGTCCGAGCTCCCGGCCCGAGTTGTGCTGCCCGCGGGGTGTGGTCCCTGGGTGAGCCCGCTGGAGACGCAGACCCTCTGCTGCCAGACTCAGTGGGGAGCAAGCGTCCAACCAGGTCATTTGTGGGGATGGTTCAGGCCAGGGGGGCAGAGAGGCGGGGACCCTCCCCAAATTCACGTTCTCAGAGGCCAGCCAGGGGTCAGCAGTGCCAACAGCCCAGGATGGCTCTCCTGTCCGGTCTTATTGGGCATGGGCCTGAGGCACTTGCCTGCTGGACTGGGGTGGGGTGATTTGGGGTCACTCTTGAAGGGGGGACCGTGCCCAGGGCAGGTGCCCTCAGGTGAGACACCCTTGGTGTCCCAGAATGCATGGTTGTCCCTGGGCACCAGGCTTGGGGTGGTGCAGACTTCACAGAGGGGCCTTGAGGGGGGCAAGGGTGGGTGCACCTGGGGGTGGCCCCTTGTGGGTCAGCAGGAGGCGCTCAGAGAACGACAGTACGGCTGACGGGGTGTTGTGGGAGACTTTATTGGGGCGTCCCACCGGCTTCCACAGTGACGGCCAGAGGGGAAGAGGCTCAGAGCCCGGGGAGCAGCCGGACCCAGCACGGGCAGCGGGGGCTCTTCGCAGGCCTGGGGTGGGAGGGCCGAGCGGCCAGCTGCAGGGGAGCCTTAGGCCACAGGCGGCTTCCGGCCAGCAGGAGCCGGATGGCCTTGCTGGGGCTGCCGCCCACCTGGTAGTGCAGAGATGGCCATGGAGGGACTGGACAGTCAGTCCTTAAGGGATGGAGCTACACCAACAGGAGTAGGAGGCAGGTGACCACCAGCCCCTGCACAGGCTCAGGGGGGGACATGGGCAGCTGTCAGGGCCACTAGTACAGAAGCCTGAGTGCAGGAGGCAACGGGCTCCCATACTCTGGGTGGCCCAGGAAGAGCCCTCAGCAGCAGGACCTCTGGCCCAAGGAGACACCACAGCAGGCCGGGCGGGAGCAGGTGGGGCGGCAGAGCAGGGACACGCAGGAGGCCGGGCGGCAGCAGCTGGGCTGGCAGGAGGAGGCACAGCAGGAGGAGGCGGGCACGCAGCAGGCGGGCCTGCACACGGGGCTGCAGAGCAGGGACACGCAGGAGGAGGGTCTGTAGTAGCAGACGGGCTTGCAGCAGACGGGCACGCAGCAGGACGGCTGGCAGGGGGAGGAGCTGCAGCAGTCAGACTGGCAGCTAGACTGCTGGCAGCAGGAGGAGGAAGCCTCAGAGCAGACGGGCACACAGCACACGGGCTTGCAGCACACGGGCTTGCAGCAGAGGGACACACAGCAGGACGGCTGGCAGGGGGAGCAGCTGGAGCAATCAGACTGGCAGCTAGACTGCTGGCAGCAGGAGGGGGTGCAGGAGCTGGTGCAGACTGATTGGCAGCAGGGTCTGGACACACAGCTCACTGGGGTGCAGAGGAGGGTCAGGCGGGGGGCTGGGGCGCAGCAGCTGGGCTGGCAGCAGCTGGGGGTGCAGCAGGGGGGCTCGCAGCAGCTCTCTGGGCAGTCGTCCACCTGCCAGGAGGACTCGGGGCAAGAGCTGGAGCAGACGGACATGGTGGAGGCGGCCATGGTGGGTGTGCTGGAGGAGGGTGTGTGGGTGAGTGTGTGGGTGTGTGTGGGGAGCTCTGGGCTCTGGCTTTTATACCTGCCCGGTCCCTCTGGTCCCCAGCCCACAGCCTCTCCTTCCGGGTTGCTGGGCCGGCTCCTGGCTGTCATTGGGGATGCTTGTTTACCTGGGAGGCTGTCCAGCTCGTTAATGTCCTGCCAGCGTCGGGGCCCCTGGAGCGGGAGTGGGTTCCGGGAGCACTGAGTGCTGGGGTGTTGTGTGTGGGAGGAGCCTGGCCACCCTGGGCTGCTGGGGCACCCTCCAGCCACTGGACAGCAGCCTCAGGGCCTCGTCTCCCTTGGAGGGAAGCCTGGGCACAGAGGTGTCACCTGAGGTTCACACCCCTCCCCAGGGCCCGTCACCACTGCAGGATGCTTGGCACCTGTACTGAGCACCCAGAGTCCAGGGTGCCTGGTGCCCTGTCCGGGGCCTCATGGCTGTGTGGAGCTGGACAGCCTGAGCCTGCCCTGAGCCCTGCACAGGTCCTCATCCCTCCACCTCTCCCTGCCTCCTCCCTGTGGCCCTGTCCATCCTGTCCCTGTGCCTGAGGGCAGCAGGCCTCCATCCTCAGGCCAGGATGGTGGGCTGTGCTCTCCCGGCTGGGGCACCAGGCAGCCTCCTGGGCCGCGGGTCCAGGTTCTGAACCTGCAGAGCCCAATGTGCCAGGCTGCCACAGCCTGCCCCTTTGCCCCTCTGCTGCCTTCTCTGTCTGCTCCGCTGCCCCCCAGGCTGCCCAGTGGCCTCCACCAGCCTCTCCCACCTGGCCTTCCAAGCCTGCCTCCCAGCCCGGGCTAGGTGGCTCCCCAGTGCTGCTACCTTAAAGCAAGTCCCTGGCTCCACAGAGCACGGACAGGAGGCCTGCCGCATGCCGGGAGAGCGTGCCCTCCGGTGTCCTTGCCACCTCTGGTGCCCTTGTCACCTCTGGCCACATTGCCCTCAGCGAGCAGCTGGAACCTGGAGACTGTTTCTCTGTGAAGACGCCCGTGGAACCCGTGCTGCTGACTCGTTGGTGGTCGTCTCGTGGCCAGCAGCACAGTAGCTGGGCTCAGCCCACGTATTCCCGTAGGTCACTCTGGCTCTGGGGCATCGGCTGTGCTGCGGCTTGTGGCGGGGGCTTGTGGCCGGGGCATTGCAAACAGGAAGGTCCCTTGTACCGCAGGAAAAAGCACTAAAGGGACCGTGGGGAGGACGCTCGTCGGGAGGAGAGCTCAACTGGAGGGCAGTGTGGCCTGTCCCCTGCGGGGGCGTGCCTCTCGGGAGCCTCGAGTCCTCCCTGCTCTGCCAAACCCACAGAGGACACAGAAGTGCTCAGTACTGACCCGACTTGCAAATAAACGTCAGGGGAAAGCCTCAGCAGCCCCTGGTGGTCCTGCCCGCCGGCTCCTCCGCCGCCCCCGGTCCTCGCGGGTCCACCCACTCAGCCGCCATCGGCCTGCTGCCACCGACCGTCTGTCACGTATCTGTCATGTTTACGCCTCTCCCTGCTGTGCTGCTCTTACCTGGGCCTGTCCCTGTCCCTGACGTCCATCGCTGCCAGCCGTCTCTGCCCATGTGCCCCCGTCCTGTGTGGTTCAGGCCTGGACACGCGCACACCGCGCACACCTGGCACACGCGTGTGCACGTGAATTCTTCCCCTCCTGGAAACGGAACCCAGGGCCTGTGGAGGCCGAGCGGTGCCCTCCCGCTGAGCGGCACCCTGTCCTTGTGCTGGTGTGGGTGCACCTAGGTATCCCCCCAGTGTCACAGGGTGAGTGGTGTCGCGCCCAGCGGCCTCCTTGTCCTGGCGTGGCAGGGGACGTCCTTGCCTGGGCTGCACGGGGCCCTCTTGCTTTTCATGCTCGGAGTCCAGGCGAGGAGCTCGCAGCCCCGGTCAGGCCGCGTCCCTGCTCCCTGAGGAGGCCCCACGGGGACCCACCCCGGCTCCTGTGAGTGTGGCAGGACGCGGGAGAGTGGCCGTGTGGCTGGGGCCACCTCCTCTCCCCAGGAGCCCTCGTGGGCAGTGGGCAGTGGCTCTGGGCTTCCCTCGGCCTTCGCCAGACACACCGTGAGGCCCTCGCGCCGCTGCCCCACGGTGTCCACATAGGGCTGCGGGGAGGCTTCACCAGGACGGTCCCCGTCCTCTCCCAGTGCCGCACCTCCACTTGGTCACGTCCCCGATTCCTCTCAGCTCCATCTGGCCGTGTCCCCACCCCTCACAGTCCCTCCCGCCTGGTCACCTGACATCAGGCCACCAGCCGTTCACAGGTGCGGTTGTCACGCTCTCTAGCTACGGCGTCCTATGCTGCCCCACTTCAGTGTGATGCTGGAAGTCCCCATCGTCACCTCTGTTTTCTTAAGATGCGTGACCCTCAGTTTTCCTGACTGTGGGTCAGTCCTACTGTCTGGGTCCTTGGCCCTGTTTCTTGGTGACTGTGATTCCTGGTGGCCTCTCAGACATCGCTGTGACGTCTCCCGAGCTCCGGCGGCTCATGGTGGCTTTCTGCTTCTCGGTTTCCTCCCTGCCCAGCGTGACATCTGCCCAGCGCAGTTGGGGCGGGGCCTGCGGAGGGCTCAGGGAGGTTCCGTCCAACCCGCCGCCCCCTGGGCTCTGCTGCCCCTCAGCCCAGTGCGTGGGCCTCCCTCGCCCGGGGCTCCCCTCCACCCTCAGTTCCCGGCCCTCAGAACCTTGAGGTGGATGCGCTCCACAAAGGCCCTGTCCCAGCTGTCCTGAGCAGGGGTGTGTGGGACACCGTGCTGTCACAGACGGGTGGGCCTCCCAGGGCAGCCAATGCCGTCTGTCAGTGCCTGGACCCCAGGGGGCCGGCCAGCCTGCAGACGCAGACGAGGCAGCCCTCAGGGAGCTCCCAGCACCCACCTCCTTCTTCCTGTCCAGGATCCTAGGGGTCCACCCCCCGGGAGGGAGACGGGGCCTGGCACCAGGTGCCAGCAGGCCCTCAGCCCGCCACTGGCCTGCTCCACCTTGTGTGCTGGGGACCCCTCCCAGGGCTGCAGGGTCTCCCCTCCTCAGCTCCTGCCTTTGCAGCCGCGGGGGGCGGGGAGGTGAGCGGCACCTTGACCACACACGGAGGGTCCCGTGGTGAACGCAAAGGGTTTGACGCATTTCTCAGTGACAACCAGAAGGACCTGGTGGCTGGTGGCTGTCACTTGAGAAGTCAGGGACCTCGGTTCTCAGGGGTCCAACTGGGGACCCAAGGGATCATCCAGCGACCCAGGAAGTGGACAGGAGACACGAAGTCTGCCCTTGCTGTTTGCATGGGGCTCTTTTGCAGAGGAGGGCCGGGGCGTCACAAGCGTCACAGCCGCACAGCTGTGTGCCAGGTCAAGGCCCCGAGGTGGGAGGCTGAGGCAGACACCGGGCTGAGCCCCGGCGGTCAGATGGGCTGCGGTGTGCACTGCCCAACGTGGGGCCTGTGGGGACAGTGCTGCCGCCCACCAGAGCACGGGGACTTCCTGCACAGGGAGCACCGAGTCCTTCTAGAAACGTCCACCTCACAGCCTCCGACCAGCCCTCCAGCCCCCAGCCAGGGGGACGGGACGGTGGGCTTCCCTGCTCGAAGCTCTGGTCAGTTGTGCCTCCCCCACGGGGCCAGGGAAGGGTGCGGGGGCGTCGGCTGCCCACGCAGGCCCAGGGCCTTTACGAGCTCACGGAAGCTAACGAGGGCTGGCGTCCTCACCCACGGGGAAGAGGGAGCTGTGGGCCAGGCGGGGGGGTATAAAAGCCCCGCAGCCCGGGCTGCTCACACTCACACCCACCCCCACACACCCACCCACACACTCACTCACACACACCCACCCACCCACCCCCTCCAGCACACCCACCCACCCCCTCCAGCACACCCACCATGGCCACCTCCACCATGTCCGTCTGCTCCAGCGACCTGAGCTATGGCAGCCGCGTCTGCCAGCCCGGCTCCTGGGATTCCTGCCCCGACTGCTCCTGGCAGGTGGACGACTGCCCAGAGAGCTGCTGCCAGCCCCCCTGCTGCGCCCCCAGCTGCTGCCAGCCCAGCTGCTGTGCCCCAGCCCCCCGCCTGACCCTCCTCTGCACCCCAGTGAGCTGTGTGTCCAGCCCCTGCTGCCAATCAGTCTGCACCAGCTCCTGCACCCCCTCCTGCTGCCAGCAGTCTAGCTGCCAGTCTGACTGCTCCAGCTGCTCCCCCTGCCAGCCGTCCTGCTGTGTGTCCCTCTGCTGTAAGCCCGTGTGCTGCAAGCCCGTGTGCTGTGTGCCCATCTGCTCTGAGACTTCCACCTCCTGCTGCCAGCAGTCTAGCTGTGAGCCTTCTTGCTGCTCCTCTTCCCCCTGCCAGCAGTCCTGCTGTGAGCCCTCTTGCTGCTCATCCTCCCCCTGCCAGCCGTCCTGCTGTGTGTCCCTCTGCTGCAAGCCTGTCTGCTGCAAGCCTGTGTGCTGTGTGCCCGTCTGCTCTGGAGCCTCCTCCTCCTGCTGCCAGCAGTCTAGCTGCCAGTCTGACTGCTGCAGCTGCTCCCCCTGCCAGCCGTCCTGCTGTGTGTCCCTCTGCTGCAAGCCCGTGTGCTGCAAGCCCGTGTGCTGTGTGCCCGTCTGCTCTGGAGCCTCCTCCTCCTGCTGCCAGCAGTCTAGCTGCCAGTCTGACTGCTGCAGCTCCTCCCCCTGCCAGCCGTCCTGCTGCGTGCCCGTCTGCTGCAAGCCCGTCTGCTGCTACAGACCCTCCTCCTGCGTGTCCCTGCTCTGCCGCCCCGTGTGCAGGCCCGCCTGCTGCGTGCCCGTCTCCTCCTGCTGTGCCTCCTCCTGCCAGCCCAGCTGCTGCCGCCCGGCCTCCTGCGTGTCCCTGCTCTGCCGCCCCACCTGCTCCCGCCCGGCCTGCTGTGGTGTCTCCTTGGGCCAGAGGTCCTGCTGCTGACCGGCCATGTCCCCAGGGCCAGTGGGCTCAGGTCCCTCCATAGCTGGGCCCCTCACCATCCACAGTCTGCCCCTGAGCAGGGTTAGGTGACTGGACAGCCCAGGACAGGTCTTCCCTGTGTCCATGCACTGACCTGACCTCCCCAAGTCACACCTGCTGTCTGGGTCACCTGCCTTGTCCTCCCCCTCTCAGCTCCTCTTGGGCTCAATAAACTCACCTGATCACCCAAGTCTTCCTCTCCTGCTTGTGGACACAGGGTGGGAGCAGACGTCGTGCTCTAGGAGTGTCCCTAAGAGGGGTGACTTGGGCTGGAGATAATGAGGGATGGTGTCTGGCTGCTCTGAGGTGGTCACCAGGCCAGAAAGGCTGGGTCCTGCCCCATCCCCAAGCCTGCGGCCTCCTGAGCTGCTCGCCCCACACGTGCCCTGGGGTCCTGAGCAGTCCCCGCACACTGCCCCCCCAGGCCAGCCCACCCTGTAGAGTCCCCCACTGGGAAGCTGCCCCAGGGCCCTATCTGCCTGGCAGATGTGCGCTGGGAGCGGGCTGGCTGCCATCTTCCCAGGAGGTCATTGCTCAGTGGCCGCAGCATGTTACTGAGCTGGGGTGGCACTCTGTCCCCCGGGAGCCTGGGGCTCTGCCTGAGGGCAGCACAGGCCATTCTGTGGACAGCAGCCCCTCCTCTTGCCGGGACAACATTGGACAACAGATGAGGGCACTGTGGACAGGCACCTGGCCAGTACCCAGAGTTCTCCAGCAGAAGTATGTTGAGGGGCTGTGGCAGCTGCTGGGACTGTCACTGCTCATACAGCACTGTCCCCAGCATGTCCAAGACGACATGCTGCCCCTCGGGCTCCCCGCCCACTATGGCCTCCATTGGGCCTTCCTTCTGGAGACCCTCGTGCACCCCAGGGGCTGGTCTGGAACCTACAGAGGGAGCCCCACTGCCACCAGCTGCGCACGATGCCCTCCACCCCCTGACCAGGCCTCTGCCGTCCTCTCATGTTTGGAATTGGCCTTGGGGGGACAGGCTAGTGTGAGCTCAGTGGTCCTCTAGGGGCAGTCGGATGAGTTTGAAGGGGGCCCGCCCTGCAGCCCACCTGGGTCTGGGACGGAGCACTGGGGTCCCTTTCCTAGTGCCCTTGGCTGTGCTGCTGGGGGCTGTCACTGTCACCTGTTTCCAAAGACACCAGGAGGAGGCAGGTGTCCTCTGTGCCTGGCGGCTCCCGGCTCCCCGTCGTGCACGTCTGTGGCCGACCCTCTGAGCTGCCCAGTGGGGCTCTGTTGCCTGGACCCAATGTGGACCCAGGCACCTGCTGCCACCCCTGGGCTTCTCCAGGTCTCAGGGACGAGCAAGAGCGCTCTAGGGACCCGCGCGCCTGGGTTGCGTGGGAACAGGTGTCCTGTGCCCTGGGTCAGTGCCCGCCCAGGGCTGCGTGGTGCTCCCTCCCCTCAGCCAGGGCTGAGCCAGGCCCTCACCCCGTGCCCTCAACACCTGGGCTTGCACATGGCGGCACCCATGTCCCCTAGCGGCTGAGCGTGGGGTGTCCCCTCTTGTCTGTCACACCATGTGTTCTACAGTGAGAGTCGATTCGCACTTTCTGCCCGGGTTTCTTCAATCAGGTCGTTAGTGTCCTTATGATTAATGTGCCAGTGTTCTTCACATATTCTGTGAGTGTGTGTGAGTGTGTGCATGTGTGTGAGTGTGTGCATGTGTGTATGTGCTGTGTGTGAGAGTGTGTGTATATGTGTGTGTGAATGTGTACATGTGTGTGTGCTGTGTGTGAGTCTGTGTGCATGTGTGTGTGTGTGCTGTGGGTGTATGTGTGTACACTATGTGTGCATTGTGTGTGAGTGGTGTGCATGTGTGTATGTGAGTGTGTGTGCATGTGTGTGTGTGAGTGTGTGCATGTGTGTGCTGTGTGTGGCTGTGTATGCTGTGTATGTGTGCTGTGTGTGTGAGTGTGTGTGTGTGTGTGCACTCTGCAAACCTCCTCCCTGCTGGTGGCTCAGCTTTTAATCTTAATGGAGTCTTGTTTCTTTTTGGTGCTGGGGATTGAACTCAGAGGCACTTAACTACTAAGCCACACTCCCAGGCTTTTTTGGTATTTTTAAATTTAGGACTGAGTTGCTCAGGGCCTCGCTAAGTTGCTGAGGCTGGTTTTGAACTTGCTGTCCTCCTGCCTCAGCCTCCCGAGCTGCTGAGATTATGGAGTGCTCCTCTGTGCCTGGCTCTTACCAGTTTCCTTGGTGGCGATCCGGTCAGTCTGTCCTTTTCCCTCCATGCTCCTGGAAGCCTGCTTGGCTCAAGCCCCCAGTTCCCTCCCACGCCCCCCTCTGTCTCCTGGTCCCACTGCTGCGTCTGTTCTGCAGCCTCCTGGTCACTTTGCGGGTGGAGGGCCTCCTGCTGTTCTGTTGCAGAGTGGAGAGCCCTTGGGCGCCCATCGGCCCTTGAGCACCCGGGCACACTGCTCTTGAGGCCTGGCCCCCAGCGCTCTCCACTCTGCGCCAAGCCCGCGCTCACGCTGCCGCATGCTGACTCGATCAGCGCAGCTTTAAATTGAATCTTGAAATGCAGTGAGGCACGTCCTCCATTGGTGCCGACTCCTGGAGGTTGCTGACCATTCTGGGTGCCCCGTGTTTCCCCATAGAGTTCAGAGCCAACGCACTGATTTTGACTTGGATTCTGACTGAGATGGCCTTGGCTATCTGGAGAGGTGGGGAAGTCTGACGTCTAACACAACTGCGCCTCCCACCACGGACACGGTCTGTCTTGCCGGCGGGTCCAGTCTCTTCAGCGATATCCGTCACCTTGAGCGCACGGATCCTGTGCATCTTCTAAGTTAACCTGTGGTTTCCTTGGTAGGTTTCAGTAGTGCGTGTTCATGTCCAGTGGCTGAGTGCTACCCGTGGGAACCACGGCTTTGTGGGGTGGTCTGGGTCCCCTCCTCAATCCAGGGGGTTCTGCATGCGCCTGGGACCCTCTCGCCGCATCATCGTGTGGAGGGTGGATGGGGCCCCTCCCCTTCCTCTCCCACGCAGGCCTCTCGCCTCTTCCCTGACCTTCTGTGCTGGGAAGGGCCTTGGACGTGATGCTGGACGCAGTGGCCAGAGCAGCGTTGCCCGGTCCCGATTCTGGGGAGAAAGCTTTCTGTCTCTCCTTAGGCCGGAGGCTCCCTTTCAATTCTGCTTTGCTGGGGGTTGGTCTCTTAGAAAAAATCCAGTCTTGGGGATTAAACCAGGGGTGCTCTACTACTCAGCCACATCCCAGCCCTTTTTATTTTTTTATTTTGAGACAAGGTCTCATTAAGTTGCGAGGCTGGCCTGGAACTGGCCATCCTCCTGCCTTGGCCTCCCGAGTCACTGGGATCACAGGCTCGGCCAGTGCCCTCAGCTGGGAGCTCTTATCATCATCGTTTAATGAGCCTTCTTTTGCCTCTATCAACACAGTCATGGGGTCTGATCCTTTTACTTCCTAACATGACACACGGGTTGATTCTGGATGCGAAGCTCACCTGACGTTCCTGACTCACACTCACCCTTCCGTGTCTCGGGACTTGGCTGGCCGAGGCTTTGCTGAGAACACTGGTGTCTACACTTGCCCCTCTCTCGCTGCCCGCCAGCCCCTGGTGTGGGCTGGGCCACTCTCACACAGGGGGCTGGAGCTTCCCTTCTGGTTCTGCTCTCTGAACCCTTTGGGTACCTGCTGGACTTGCACAGCTAAACCCAAGGTACTGGTGAGGGGCGGTGGGGGATGAAGAAACACACACACACGCGCACACAGATACGAAGATTGACACCTGAGGCCAGATGGGATTCTGTGCTCTGAGAGGGAAGCAGCATCTGAAGAGCCGGCCCCGCAGGTGTACCTAGGGTCTCACAGTCAGGGGGCAAGGGCTGTGGAGCATTACTCTTTGTGCACTAGAAAGTCACAGGGCCTGAGACATCCTGTAGCTGCTTCACTGTTGCAATGCTCTGAGCTTCCTGCGGCACTCAGGAAGCCCACGGGCTCCAAAGTAGCAGCAGCGGCGAAACAACGTAGCTGTCTTCTCCCCTCAGAATTCCTCTCCCCGAGCTATGTGCCTGATATCAGGTCGATAAGATTCACGCACAGAGCTGCTTGGGGTGGGGCGTCACCATAGCAACTGGACATCCTGCGCCCTTGCACAGAGACATTCGTAGGCAGCAGGTGTGCCACAGCCGTGGGGCAGTCAGGGACCCCCAGTCTCAGCCCTGCTCTCCACAGGTGCTGTTGGTGTGACGTCTTCCACCTATGCTGAGTGTCGGCGGCAAGACTTTGGGGTGGGCATTTTCTTTGGGGTGAGCATTTTAATTATGCATTCAGTCCCTCAAATTGGTCCAGAGCTATTCAGGTTTTCCGTTTGTTCTTGAGCTAGATTTTACAATGTGTGTCTTTGCCCATTTTACCTAAGAGGCTGAGGGTGGGCATGAGGGTGCTGCGTGCTGTCCACGACTCTGATGTTGGTGACTCATTTCTTCTCTTTCTTGCAGTGAGACTAGAGCACGGTCCACCCGTCGACCTTCCCAGAGCAGGCTCAGTCCCCTCAGCTTGCCCTCTCTGTAGGCACACCCTGCCTGGCTGGTATGCCCTCCCGTGACTCCAGGGCTAGGCTCCTCTTCCTGTCCTGCTGCTGCAGGTAGAAGTCACTGACCTCAGGGTTCCTCCTCTTCTTCTAACAGCAATGAAAGCCACGCTGTCCCCTTGGGGTGCTGGCCGCTGTGTCCCATAGATTCCCGCATGTCGTGATCCCATTTTCATTTCGTTCAGAATGTCTCAGTTCCCCCTCACTTGAGCTCATTTCCATTGTGATTTCTTCGTGGACTCATGCATCATCTTCATTTTATTTATTTATTTTTTAATATTTATTCTTAGACTTTAGGTGGACACAATATCTTCATTTTACATTTTTGCAGTGATGAGGATGGAACCCCGTGCCTCGTGCATGCTAGGCGAGCGCCCTACCACTGAGCCACAACCCCAGCCCCAGCTCATGCACTATTTTTAAATGTGCTGTTTCATTTCAAACGCTGGGTGATTTCACAACTATTTTCCTGCAACAACCTTTCTTTCTGTTGTGGCAAAAAACAGCCTCTTTGCCTCCTCCTGGATGCCACCAGCCCGGTTTCCAGGCTTGGATGTGGTTCACTTTGCTCTTGACAGCGTGCGCGTGCCCCCATGTGGGGGGACAGTGCAGACGTGTTGATTAGCGGCTGGCTTAGAGAGTCAAGTTTTCTGCATGATCACCAACTTGATCACATTTGGTGGTGAATACTGGCGGTTTCATGTGTCTGTAGCCTCAACCCCCGCGGCTGTGTGACGTTCTCTGCTGTTCCTCCTCCTGCCCTTTGGCTTAGTTTCTCTTCTCTCTTCTTGTTCGCTGGCCCTTTCTCCCGATGGCCCTCTCTGTCGGTTGCCGGTAGCCGATGGCCCCTTGGTGTCTCTCACTGATGCTCTTTCCAGCCCGGCTCCTCTCGGATCCTCGCGCTCGTCTGCAGGGACCGCCTGCGCTGGCTGCAGATCCGTGACCGTGGGAGGTGTGGCTTCGGCCTCCTGTTGGTCACCTTCACCCGGGGGGTTTACACAGCCCTGTGCCCAGGAGGTCTCCCCGGGGTCTGCGGGTGCTCAGCGTCTCCTCTGCTGGCTGCTGGGACTCAGCGTCCCTGGAACTCCACTGCTCCGGGAACCCTTCCCACGGCGCTGGTGGCTCTCTGCCCAGGCCCCGAGCTCCGAGCCCCACGCGAGAGCCGCGGAACTTGGCAGTGGGTCCGGGGACCCTCGGCACTTTCCTGGGTAGGTCCCTCTCCTCCTGTGCTACCCAGCGCTCCCAGCTGCCTGGACCCGAGCTCCGGTTTCCAGAGCTCAGGAGAGCACTGCGCGGGTTCCTGGTGGGCTGCAGCGGGTCCCTTCTCTGGGACCCCAGGTCCCCACAGCCTCCCGCTGTGTGAAGACAGTCACACAGTCCATTGTCCAGGTGTTTGGGTGAGGACAAGTGGCCTCTGTCAGTCCTGGTGGCAGGGCTCCTGCCCTCTGCCGCCGGCCCGCCCCTTCCTCTGGTTCTGACCTTCCCTGACTCTGAGACTAGTCGGCCTCCTCCCCGCTGGGAGACCTCCAGCCACCTCCCAACCCACAAGACTCCTGCTGCCCTGGCCACCCACGGCCTGGTCTCCCAGCAGGACCCTGCCAGCTCCACAGGAGGCGGAAGTGGCCTGCAGTCACGGCCTCCCTCGTGGGATCGCTCACTCAGTGACACGTGCGGTGACGGCTTCAGCAAGCGGAACAGCTATACGAGGGTTCCAGCTGAGGCCCAGCCAAACCCCAGGGGAAATGGGGGTCCAGTGTCCCCAGGGGCCGCCCAGCAGACTCCTCCCCCGACCAGAGCTGGCTTGGTGCACACCCTGAGCTTCTGGGCCGGGAGTGGCTGTCTCGGCTCGGCCCACACACTCCGAGCAGGGCTCCTCTATCCTGTGCCCCATGGCCCCCATGAGCATGGGCACCTGTGACGGGCAGGCCCCACACCTGCCCCTCTGCCTCTCGGCCTGGAGTTCACTGGAGACACGGGAAGGAGCCGGGCTTCCCAGCAGCTCCCACACAGCTCGTTCCAGGTGTGATTTTTAAAACGTTTATTAAAACATGCAGAAGGCACCTGGTGTCTGCTCAGGCCAAGCCACTCCCCACCAGACCCAGTGGGGCTGCAGGGTGACTCTCAGGGCCCGGCCCTGGCCAGGTGCCAAGCAGTCGGGGGGCCACACCACAGTGAGGTCAGCAGGTGCGCGGGGTCGCGGCCAGCACAGATGGACTCTTGCAGGAGGCCTTTGAAGGTGCGCTGGAAAAACAGACCTAGAAGATCCTGCTCCCGACTTGACAGGTGCCGTGTGGAAGGAGGGGAGGTCACAGGGCAAAGCTACGGAGCCCAGTGAATACGGCACAGGGTGGGACACCCCAAGAGGATCCCAACCAGACGCCGAAGGGCTGAAAGCCCAGCCCCACCCTCTCCCGTCCAATCAGACCCCGGGCACCACGTGCCCCGGGCCCAGGAGAGCTCAGAGGATCTGAGGGACAGCAGAGCTGTGCGCAGGGGCCCAGGCCGGAGTGCAGTGGGGACATATGGGGCCAGTGCAGGTTCAGAGTTGAGGGCCGTTATGGGTCGGTTTGCTCAAGTGCATCCAGAGAAGGGGCAGAGGGCCAGGGGTTGGGACTGCTGACCACCTAGGGGACAGGGACTTGCCAGGAGCCCTCCAAAAAGCTGAGTATGGACATTTAGTGTTTCTATATTGTCCAGCTCAGCAGCAGCTGGACCAGCAGACACCAGGAAATAGCCAGAGGACGGGAGCAATTCAGGATATGGCTGTCACCTCCCAGTGGGGCCTGAGCTCGCTGGCCCTGGGGACACGTCTGGTCAGCAGCAGGACCTCTGGCCCAAGGAGACACCACAGCAGGCCGGGCGGGAGCAGGTGGGGCGGCAGAGCAGGGACACGCAGGAGGCCGGGCGGCAGCAGCTGGGCTGGCAGGAGGAGGCACAGCAGGAGGAGGCGGGCACGCAGCAGGCGGGCCTGCACACGGGGCGGCAGAGCAGGGACACGCAGGAGGAGGGTCTGTAGCAGCAGACGGGCTTGCAGCAGACGGGCACGCAGCAGGACGGCTGGCAGGGGGAGGAGCTGCAGCAGTCAGACTGGCAGCTAGACTGCTGGCAGCAGGAGGAGGAGGCTCCAGAGCAGACGGGCACACAGCAGACGGGCTTGCAGCAGAGGGACACACAGCAGGACGGCTGACAGGGGGAGGATGAGCAGCAAGAGGGCTCACAGCAGGACTGCTGGCAGGGGGAAGAGGAGCAGCAAGAGGGCTCACAGCTAGACTGCTGGCAGCAGGAGGAGGAAGCCTCAGAGCAGACGGGCACACAGCACACAGGCTTGCAGCACACGGGCTTACAGCAGAGGGACACACAGCAGGACGGCTGGCAGGGGGAGCAGCTGGAGCAATCAGACTGGCAGCTAGACTGCTGGCAGCAGGAGGGGGTGCAGGAGCTGGTGCAGACTGATTGGCAGCAGGGTCTGGACACACAGCTCACTGGGGTACAGAGGAGGGTCAGGCAGGGGGCTGGGGCACAGCAGCTCGGCTGGCAGCAGCTGGGGGCGCAGCAGGGGGGCTGGCAGCAGCTCTCTGGGCAGTCGTCCACCTGCCAGGAGGACTCGGGGCAAGAGCTGGAGCAGACGGACATGGTGGAGGCAGCCATGGTGGGTGTGCTGGAGGGGGTGGGTGTGCTGGAGGGGGTGGGTGTGCTGGAGGAGGGTGGGTGTGCTGGAGGGGGTGGGTGTGCTGGAGGAGGGTGGGTGTGCTGGAGGAGGGTGGGTGTGGGTGAGTGTGGGTGCGAGGCCCGGGGCTCTGGGTTTTATTCCCCCCTGGCCTGTGTTGTCCCATCCCGGCCCCTCGTCTCCCCTTCCTGATGGCCTGGGGCCACTTCCTGGAGAGCAGCAACCCTGAGCTCCAGCTTCCTGCGTGGCTGACTCGGCCCGGCTCAGGGTCTAACTTGTTTTCAGTCTCAGAGAGAAAAGTGGAGGTGGACGGAGGTCGTGTGGACAGAGGTCATGTGGACAGGGGGCTTCTAGCGAGCGTATTTGGGGCCCAGGTGGCTCTTGCCAATTGTGGTGACAGCTGTGGGGGCACGCTACCTCTGGGTGGTGGGGTCCCAGGGTCCCTGCCCACCAGGACCCTGCACCCTGTGGTCAGAGGGCCAAGGGAGGAGTTCACTTGGATTCTGGGTAGAGATGACCTGGGCAGGACTTCTCTGCCCTAACGCACCCTTCTTGGGCTGCTGTAGCAAGCACAGAGGCTGGGCACAGACTCCCCAGCTGCTGGTGCTGCCCACCTGCAGGAGCCTGGTGCTGACTTCGTCTCTCTGTGCCCGCGGCACTCTCCCTCTCCGGTCCATCTGCGTGTCCCCGTTTCACAAGGACACTGGCCACGTTGGGCTAGAGCCCACCCTGCCAACTGCACCTGCTCCCTTGTCTGCAAACACCCTCCTTCCAGGCAAGGGCACATGACAGACTCCAGGGTCAGGGCCCAAGGCTTCTGGGCTGTGTGGCGCCACCGCGAGGGTCCCCTGCTGCAAGGCAAGCTCCGTGGAGGTCTGGGATGGGAGGGCAGGTGGCCTCCCTTGCGGACTCTGTCTGGAGCTGCTAGTGGGGAGCAGGTGGGATGGGCGGGGCCTTGCAGCACAGTAGTAGGCCTGGTGTTAGACCAGGACGCAAGAAAGACCACTGACTCCAATTAAATCAAATTAAAGCAACTTATCATTTCCACCGGCCGGGCTGCCTCTCCCACCCAAAACCACGGGAACAGGACAGCCCAGCAGCTTTGCAGCCCAGAAAGTCACACAAAGGGGGGTGACAGATAACAAAACTCTGACGAGCATGACATTTTTGCTGGCCCCGGCATCAGAATTTATGAAGGTCATTAGAGCCTCAGAGAGGGTGGGTATCTGGCCAGGGAAGGTCACTAAAGTTTCAGAGAGGGCTGCTAACTGGTGGGAGAGCCAGGCATGGGTGAGTTCAAGGCACGGCAGGCATTCCAAGCAGGTTCAGAATCTGCAGTCACTCATAGTAAAGCCGAAATTAGCTTTTCATGGCTTTGTGGAGAGATGGCTCCCAATTTTAAGAAAATGAGGCTGGGTCTATCACCTGGCTCCAGTTCGTGGGCGATTTTCAGGTTGATTTCATGCAGCATGTTAGAGTGGAGAGCTCCCGTGGCCAGCTCCCCCTGGTTATCACACGGGACCCACCGCCCAGCTGCCCAGCCTGCCTGCAGGCAGCACTCACTTCCCAGTGGGAGCGTCCCCGTGTCCTGGACCCCACAGCACCTGGTGAAAGGCCTCCCTGGTGTCCGCCAGCCTGACGTTGCCTGGCCTTTTCTGGCCTCCCTGTCCCTGGGCCCCAATCTGGACAATGGTGCTGGATTTCCAGACACCCCTCAGTGTGGCCCATCGGGCAGCTCGTCATGGGCAGACCACTGTGTGGGAGAGGGGTGGCCGGCCTGCACCCACACCAGGCGCTGCTCTCATCCCTCTGTCACCAGCCAACATTTGGGGAGATTCTTTGAGATGCCCAGACACCCTGGGTGCACAGACACCCCTCACTGGCGCTCACAGCCCTTTGGAGACCTGGCCTGTGACACGTATCATCACCATGGGTCCCCCTGCGAGTCCCCGCTGCCACCCCAACTGCACTTACTGGTTGGAACTCTTGTGTGTGGGGAGCTGCCACCTCTACTGTCCACTTGTCCAGTTCACTTACGCGTGCACTCTGGTGTGGACAGCGGAGATCCCACCTGGTTTGAGTGACAGTCACCACCATTTACACTGTGCTGATTGTCCCAGCGTTGGCCTCTGAGCCCCTCACCCTGCCCTTGAGCCTTTCTGGAGTGTCCCCCTGACCTTTCTGGAGTGACCCCCTGGAATTTCTGGAATGCCCCTCTGACCTTTCTGGAGTGCCCTCCCTGACCTTTCTGGAGTGCCCCCTGACCTTTCTGGAGTGCCCTCCCTGACCTATCTGGAGTGCCCCCTGACCTTTCTGGAGTGCCCTCCCTGACCTTTCTGGAGTGCCCCTCTGACCTTTCTGGAGTGTCCCCCTGACCTTTCTGAAGTGCCCCGCTGACCTTTCTGGAGTGTCCCCCCTGGTCTTTCTGGAGTGTCCCCTCTGATGTTTCTGGAGTGCCCCGCTGACCTTTCTAGAGTGCCCCTCTGACCTTTCTGGAATGCCCTCCCTGACCTTTCTGGAGTGCCCCCCTGACCTTTCTGGAGTGCCCCCCTGACATTTCTGGAGTGTCCCCCCTGACCTTTCTGGAGTGTCCCCCCTGGTCTTTTTGGAGTGTCCCCTCTGACGTTTCTGGAGTGCCCCCTGACCTTTCTAGAGTGCCCCCCGGCCTTTCTGGAGTGCCCTCCCTGACCTATCTGGAGTGCCCCCTCCTGACCTTTCTGGAGTGTCCCCCTGTCCTTTCTGGAGTGTCCCCCCTGACCTTTCTGGAGTGCCCTCCCTGACCTTTCTGGAGTGCCCCCTGACCTTTCTGGAGTGCCCCCCTGACCTTTCTGGAGTGCCCCCTGACCTTTCTGGAATGCCCTCCCTGACCTTTCTGGAGTGCCCCCTGACCTGGAATGCCCTCCCTGACCTTTCTGGAGTGTCCCCCCTGACCTTTCTGGAGTGCCCCCCTGACCTTTCTGGAATGCCCTCCCTGACCTTTCTGGAGTGTCCTCCCTGACCTATCTGGAGTGCCCTCCCTGACCTTTCTGGAGTGTCCCCCCTGACCTTTCTGGAGTGCCCCCCTGACCTTCCTGGAGTGTCCCCCTGGTCTTTCTGGAGTGCCCTCCCTGACCTTTCAGGAGTGTCCCCCCTGACCTTTCTGGAGTGCCCTCCCTGACCTTTCTGGAGTGTCCCCCCTGACCTTTCTGGAGTGCCCCCCTGACCTTTCTGGAGTGCCCCCCTGACCTTTCTGGAGTGCCCCTCATCTTTCTGGAGTGCCCCCCTGACCTTTCTGGAGTGTGCTCCCTGACCTTTCTGGAGTGTCCCCCCTGACCTTTCTGGAGTGCCCTCCCTGACCTTTCTGGAGTGTGCTCCCTGACCTATCTGGAGTGCCCCCCCTGACCTTTCTGGAGTGCCCCCCTGACCTTTCTGGAGTGGCCTCCCTGACCTTTCTGGAGTGTGCTCCCTGACCTATCTGGAGTGCCCTCCCTGACCTTTCTGGAGTGTCCCCCCTGACCTTTCTGGAGTGCGCCCCCTGACCTTTCTGGAGTGCCCCCTCATCTTTCTGGAGTGTCCCCCTGACCTTTCTGAGTGCCCCCTGACCTTTCTGGAGTGTCCCCCTGACCTTTCTGGAGTGTCCCCCCTGACCTTTCCGGAGTGTCCCCCCTGGTCTTTCTGGAGTGCCCCCTGACCTTTCTGGAGTGTCCCCTGGCCTTTCTGGAGTGCCCCCTGACCTTTCTGGAGTGTCCCCTGGCCTTTCTGGAGTGTCCCCCTGGGCTTTCTGGCCCAGCCCGTCTCCACTGTTCCTGCTTCATCCTGCCGGTTGCTTTTCCTGGGGTCCTGGTCCCCTTTGCAGGGAGTAAGGTGAGAACCCAGGCCTGGAGCTGGGTGCTGGGTATGCTCCCCCGGCTCTCCAGTGGCAGAGAGGCCCAGTGGGTGTTGGCCATCCTGGGGCAGAGAGGCCCAGTGGGTGCTGGCCGTGGAGGGCACAGTGAGTGCTTCCCTCATTACTCAGCCTCCCTTGCTGTGACAAAGTACCTGATACCATCCACTTAAAAAGAGAAGAGGTTTATTTGGCTCAGAGTTGGGAAGTTCCAGACCATGGTCAGTGGGTCCTCTGCCTTGGCCGGGGGTGGTGCCGCACATCATGTGGGACACACAGGAGAGGGGCAACCAGGAAGTACAGAGAGTCAGGAGGGGGTCGGAGTCCCATGGATCCTCAGGGCATGCCCCCATGACCCAACCTCCCCCCAGGACCCACCTCCTCAAGTTCCGCCACCTCCCAGTGACACTGGATGGGGACCAGGCCTTCCACACACGATGGCCTTGGGGACCCTGCAGATCCAAGTGCAGCGTTCCACTGAGGCCCAGCTCAGCCTCTCTGGGCCAGCTCTCCCCTCCCCTCTGTTGCAGGGCGGGCGGCTTCCCAGGGAGGGACTTGGGTCTGGGGAGTGGTCTTGGCACCTTCCTGTGTGTCCACACGCAGGTCATGTGACTTGAGTTCTGAACCTGTTTTTCTCACCTACAGACTTGCAGGGAGTCGTGCGGCCCTGGGGGAGGACCGAGTTCCCTTCCTCAGTCCTGGGGACCTCCTGATTTCCTCTCTGGGCTGGGGACGGGCTCTCTGAGGGCTGGCCCCCAGGACTTTCTCGTGGAGAGGACGAGGCGAGGGCTGGCGTCTCCCCGGCTTTCCGGAGGAGGCTGCATGGGCGTCTTCTTTAAATCCCCAGAACCCCGTTTTCTCTGCTGGAGGTTCCCACGTGTGTGACCTTCAGGCTATCCTCCTCCGCGAGGTTGAGCTGGCCCGTCCACCTGGGCCTTGAGCGCCTTGGCAGGGCACTGCTGCAGGGCACCTGTGGCCTTTTAATGCAGTGCGGCTGGTTCCTGTTGGGCGCTGCGCCTCCTGGGCAGAGGAGAGTCCTCCAGGAGGGTCTCGGGTGGGCTGGGCAGAAAGGCCACCGCCCCCCTGTGTGGCCAGGTCCTCCTTGACCCAGCAGAGGTC